TTTATATATTTTTTGGATTAAGCAACTAAAAATCATACTTTTTTGTTTTTTGAATTTTTTCTGTATTATGCTTAGTTTTCGACAAAAAATAAAATAAAATCCACTTAAATGCATATCTTGTCTGGTTGTCTGGTACAGGGATATACAATTAAGGGGTTTTTATTTTTTTCTCGAAAACAAAATAGAGACATAAAAGTTGTCTCGGTACGCCACTGGACTTGATAAATAATCAAGTTAGAGCTAAATTAGCTTCATAACACTGCCAAATAACAACAAAATTGGGTAAAGGATATTAAAGATATTTACGAAAAACCACATATAGGTACTTAACCTTGTAAAACATAAACTCAATTTTTTTGGAATTTTTTAACATACAACCTTGTTATATTAGGATTTGATGTGTATTTTTTGTGTTCTAAATTAAGACCTTTACACAAAAAAAAATAGAAAATAAGACGAAATAAGCCATAAACGGACAGATACATAACCTTAAATATGCATAACCCATGGGGCTGCATTTTTCATTAAAATGTCAAAGTGGTTTTGTAGTATAGTAGAGTTAAAGTAAGTTTGGTTCGAGAGCTTGCGCGAGTGTTGTACAGTTTTTATGTGGCATAAAATGGTGCAGCACAGACCAATGGTGCTAAGCTAGGACCAAAAAACCGAAGGTACTTTTTCCAACGTTTTAAAATTTGGTTTAATTCCAGTTCCTGTTGCAACGCTAGGGTTGCAAAGCCACAGGAACCGACAAAGCGTCAGCCTAAAAAGTAGTCAAATTCGCAGCCAAAAGCAGCCAAACGTCCAAGCACATTTTTGCCCAAAGCACTTTTGTCACGCCGACTTTCAAGTGAAGTTTATATATTTTCTGAGGCGACGAAAAAAAATCTACAACTTGAAAAAAGTTATTGAAACATTCACCAATTGGTGATAGATGCACGGTGAAGACTGTCACTGTATACACCTAAGAGAAATGAAAAAGCCAGGGCCGGCTCCAGGGTACGTGCAGCCGTGCCCCTGCACGAGGCGGCAAAATTCGAAGGGCGGCAAAAATCGAAAGGTGGCAAAAAGATATTCAATACAATACGATATAGGTTCTAAATGAGATATTTCCAATTTAATTTTAATTTAAACAGATTTTTCTTATTTTTACTACTGGTCAGTTTTATAATGTTAGATAAAATAATTATTATTAGATTATACCTATTACTGTTTTTTTAGAATGCGATGATATTTTGTTTATTTGTTATTAAATAATAATTTTTTAAATTTTTTTGTTAATTTTATCTTCCCCTTAATGCTACAACTGGATAACTCGAAATTTTACGAATCCAGTTCTACTAAATACTTACATAGGTACCAATTTTAGAATAATTTATTTACAAATGTGTTTTTTCAGATATCCAATTGTAGCATCAAGGGGACAATATTATTTAAGTAGTTTTTTTTAAAAATTGTACCTACCTAATTAATGGGCACTAAAAAGTAGGTAACTATGAGGGGCGGCAAAAATATCTTTGCACGGGGTACCAAAATGTCTGGAGCCGGGCCTGGAAAAAGCCTTATTTCAAAAAACGTATCTGGGGTTAACACTGTAATCATTTTGCGTATCAGGATTTCCCCAAAATCGTCAATTTAATAAAATGTATACGCGAATATCTCCCGATCAGTATTACTTATTCATTTATTACATTTTTTTAGATGATCCAGCAATAACAACTAAATTTACATGTAGTATACTATTTTTATTCATTATCTGAGAATAGGCGCACCCCTGTAACTTTTTTATTTATAAAGATATATCTATAGACACATGAAATTTTGCATGGTTAATTAGGATATAAAATTCCACTTATAAGAGTAAAAAATTAATTTTTTGAACTTCGGTTTCGCCGGAAACAATGCCAACTTTCGATTTTTAAATGGAATGCCCTATATATTTTTACATATTTGGAATCCTGAGGAAATTCTTAATCAGACAGCATCCTCAAATTAACCTTTTGACGTTTCGTCATCGGAAAATGTATCATCATAAAGATCAATCTAGGGTACTTTGAACTATCTTATTTTCTTCTAATGGATTCACACAATGCCTGAAAAATGGAACTTGCCTTAGAAAGTTGTTATTCAGCTATTCCCAGCAGTCTAAACTTGTCAAAATTCGTTTTTTCTCAAATAGTTCAAAGCACTCTAGATTGATCTTTATGATGATGCATTTTCTGATTACGAAACGTCGAAAGGTCAATTTGAGGATGCTGTCCGATTAAGCATTTTCTAAGGTTTCTAAATATGTAAAAATATATAGGGCGTTCCGTTTAAAAATCGAAAGTTGATATAATTTTCGGCGAAACCGTTCAAAAAATTCATTTTGTACTTTTATAAGTGGCATTGTATATCCTAATTAACCATAGCCCATTTAGCCCTGTGGTTAGGGTGGCCCTATAGGCCTATGGACGATTCCATGATTACTAACGTGACAATAAAAAAAACCCAAATATTTTATGAAAATTTTTGAAGATGTATTGTTTCTATAATAATAATTTTATGCCAGTCCTCAGCAATGAAATTAAGTAATAAAAAATAACTATTATAAAATTATTATTATTTTGTCTTGTTTTTGTTTTTGTTTGTCCCGTTAGTAATCATGAAATCGCCCCTATGCGGTTTTTTTCGAGCAGAAAACAAAAAGTGTTGATAATACCCATATGCATTATTAAAATAATAATGTTGCAAAAAAGATGAGCAAACAAAATAGTCGCACGAGCCATGGTAAAATGTATATATCTCGCGCTCTTTACCTACATTTTAATTAGAGGTGGCAAGTTTAATTCCGATTCGTTCAAAAAGAACGAATCATTTAAATGAACCGAATGAATCGAACAAAGTTTGTAAAAGAATCAATTCTTTTTTGAATCACGACTAGTGAACTAAAAAGTGAATCAAACCTTAAAATAAATATAAACTTGGTTACAACTTGTAACTTACAAGCACTGAATTAAATGCTAGGTTTGGATCACTAGGCTAAAATGTCGGTCTTTTTGAATAACTAGTGATATTTCTACTCTTTTGATTCAAAAGTTTCCAATATAACCTAGGTAGTACTTGTATTTTGTTTTTTTATGTAAGCTGTGGTGTTGTTGCACCGGAAAAGCCATAGGTTAATTTACACGTAAGCAAAATAAAAATCGAATCCAATAATTTAATAATACAACCGTTGATTCATTTAACGATACAACCAATACAAGTCATTATTACAAACGATTCAAGAACCAAGTCATTAATTCGGTCGAACCTGAATTGTTCGTTAATTATTTGTTCCTGAACCAGAAAGTGAATCAGTCGCGAACGAATCTTTATGAACGAATCATTTTAAAAGAATGAATTAAAAGAATTGATTCACCAAAAAGAATCGAACTTCCCACCTCTAATTTTAATAATTTTGAGGGAAGAAAAAGACAAAATGACGTAATTAATATTAATATACAGGTAAAAGGACTGCAAATTATTTGGTAAGGATCTGAGGTAGGTACTTACATATATAAACATTTTAAAACCAACAAACACGAAGCCCAGATAGCTATATGTACCTATAACAACGTAAATTCTCCATAAAATTATCTTTTTTTTCTTTTAGGTAACTTGGTCAAATATCCCAGAATGATGAAGAAAGTGCTTTATGTGCATAAAAATATAACTTATAAGGGTTTTAAATAAAAAATAAACAAATTTTTAACATGACCGTCGCATACTTTTTTTTTCATGTGATTTTACACATTTTTATTTGCTCAAAGTTAAAAGTATCCCCATGGTGTGAATTTTAGGTTAGGTTTCCACCGGTAAACAACCGACAACAAAAAAAACATGGCGAGCAATTTATAACTATTTATGTTGCTATTTTATCACTATATACAATCATTTCTTAACCTCGCGGTCCGCGAGATGGGTCGGTTGAAAAAGCGCGCCGTAATCACTGCATCCTTATTTTAAATAAAGAAAATGTAGAAAATTGATGATTTTATTTTTTATCGGGTCGCGAGCTTCTAATATTTTTGAATTGTGGGTCGCCAGCCATAAAGGTTAAGAACCGCTATAGTATAGACGGTCATGTTAATAAAAAAAATACGAAGACCTTTAACTTGTCGTTTCTATATTAAAATACACGACAGGAACTGTAAATATATCGCTAACTGAAGTGCATAATTAACTGTCGCCATTTGCAATAACAAAATATTTTAATTCACACATGCAGTACCATCTAGCGGCAAATAGACTACCTAAAGTCCTACGGTCATGTGAAGAAAACGTCGGGACAACGTTCAGTTAATATTTTTAGCCTAAACATTAACAATAATGGCTATTTAAGACAATTTTACAACACAAACAATCCAACATTTGTTCAATAACATTTTCTTTGGCTACTTAAAAGTTGAATTAAATTTTGAGAAGATCGCAAATATTGGATTTTGCTCGAGGGACGACGGTCATGTGAAACATGAGTTTTAAAATTAAAAAATAAATTCATAGGATAGGAACTTTTGGTATTATAAATCGATAAAAAATATGCCTGTCTGGTAAAATGTAAAAAAAATGATGGCTAATATAGGTTTTAGTTTTAAAACCCCAGGGACATAGTTTCTTAAAAGTTAATGAAAACAACCCTTATAGGGTTAATGGTTTAATTAAACATACGTTACGTAGGTACTTACCTATTTAATACAAGCGATTTTAATTGATACCTATTTGTTTGCTTATTTATCGTCGATTAATCGCAGGTAGGTAATTTCATAAATTCGAGATCTTGTAAACCGGACGCGTCGATGGCATTAACTTCATAAATCATAAGCCGCGGTTATAATTTATAGACTTCAACATCTTTATTGAAAGTGTTTACATTCGGCTCTAATACCGTCATAAAGTAATTACCCGCAACGAATAGGCCTGACGTGCAGACAAATTCATTCGGGAGCGATATCGTGTGTTCTCGTCTTTTCCACGATAAGACCAGTCCATTTTAAACGGAGGGGTGAGGTAGTTGGTATCTACGCCAAACAGTTGAAAGAAACCTTTATGAAAGTAAAATCCAGTGTTTCGAGTGAATTATCACTGATATCGTGTGAAAAACGGGTGATTTCTTGTAAAAAACAATCGGTGAACGCCACATTTTCGCCGTATAAAACCAAAATAAAGCCGTTTGCATCGCTGTTGTAGCAACTAGGCAGTGTGACCAACAGGGCGGCCGAAAATTCCACTGCGTTTGGAACAATGTGAAAAGAGTTGTGTTGTACGTAAATAAATTGTTTTTTACGCGTAACATGTGCAAAATTTTAAAACAATTGACGTGGAGTGTTAAAAACCTAGTGGTTGGTTGAATTTGAAAGGTTTTTGTTTGACTGACGACCGAATTCCCGCGACAATGGAGCTTGGTGACCGTGTTTACGCCGCCGAACGTATTATGAAAAAACGGGTTCGAAGAGTAAGTAAATCGGCATTTTTACAAGCAAATTCGAGGTTTTTGCTATCAAACGCCGTTTCAACCCACCTAAAAACAGCTTGCCTAGCCATAATGCACTCTAAATTATTACCAAAAATTACTTAAATAACCTAGAAAGTTCTTTTGGTTGGGGTAGGTTCAAGACCTTAAGTTGCATTTTTAATAACAATATAGAGCCTTGTGGCATTTGCATTTTTAGTTGTTTTGTTTCCTGTCCGTGTTGTGTTTATATTCTTAGAATTATAATTTCCCTTGAACCAAACCATTGTAAACAAAACCTCTAATTCCAGGAAGATTCTTTATGCAAATTTGCGTTCAAAGGTTTTTCATAATTACTTACCTACTTAAATCGATTTTATTTTTAAATTAAATTGTCTATAGAGATATAATTTCTAGGAATTATCTATAAATATCTAGGAACACTAAATATCTATTCCTAGAATTTTTATAGGCAATGGGGTGATTCACGGGGTTATTTAATGAATGCTATGCCAAAACTGAACACTTACTTGTCTGCTTTTAAAATTATTTAAGGAAGGGTGTTGTAGGTATTAATAGGGGTGAGTTATACCTATTGCAGGTATATTTTAGATGTGAGCATGATTAAATTAACTTAACTTTTCATCAGATTTATCCATTTGAAGAGTTTCCATATAAAACTAAGTATTATTTTGCCCTTTTATAAGTTGTCATTTTAAATTTCGTACTGCCAACTTAAGAAACACAAAAATATGACCTTTTAAATCTTAATTTTGCCATCATAACAACAAATTAACAATTTATAAGGTTACTTATTTACTTTTTTAGGTTGTTTTTGGTTTTTAATTATACTTTAATTTGCAGTAAAAAGTATTAATTTGTTAATTAAAATACGTTTTATTCTTATTACATTGGCACCGCTGAATTTGCTGTCACGGCCTACTGTTGTGTATTTTATGTACTCCCTCATTGACTTTATAGAGTTTTAGTCACTGGATTTTCATTAAACACGCTCGCAAGCTTCGCTCCTGCCTAATAAAACTCGTGATTAAAATGGTTTTATTCCCACCTTTAAAACGCCCTTAATCATACATGTTTCCATGACACTAAGTGACCTTTTAAATACACATTGACAAGTTGTGGCTTTACGGCGCTTTAGTCACGGGCTGAAGTTAGCTTTAAGTTAGTTGACAGTTGTCAAATGTCCTACAATCGTTAAAATAAAGTGCCCTTCTTGTAAAATAATATTAAATGTGAAAATTATTTTATTATCCCAATAGAAAAATACAAAACTAGTAAATAGTTTCTCAACGCCAAGTTTATATGAACATTGTACTGACCTTTTAATTTCAACTGCAGTAAACTAGATATAACTTAAAGTCAGGCTAGAACTCCACCGTGAAATGCTTATAAAATATTTTCTTCACTTTCACTGTGAAACACTGTTGTTTAATCCATTTTCAAGGATACATTTTGATTTATCTATGTTTATAATACATACAAATTTGATATTGGACGTTAACACAGATTCCCCTATTGTTTTATAGATGGCGCTCTCTACAAATACTTAATTTAAATCATTTTTAGATAATATATTATTATTATAATAAGTACTAGTCGTAGAAAAAGTATAGTATGCAAGTCGTTTATAAACTTTTCTAGACACTTATTAATTTAATGAATTAAATGGCCTTTATCCCTTGCCATAGCGTTTATCACTTGCCATGGCTTTAAATTCTTATTTATGTTCGTCGTGGATAAATTATAGTATGCAACTCGTATTATAAACTTCTCTAGACACTCGTTTTTATTAAACACTCGCTCGCAAATTTTGCTCGTGCTTAATAAAACTCGTAACTAAAATTGCGTTTATAAAACTTGATACATAATATACTAATAATCTCCACAAATACCTACTACCTTAAGAAAGTACATACTAGTGGACATCCATTAATTACGTGAGGCATTTTTCTGATAATTTGGACCCCTCCCTCCCCCTTGGTAAGATTTGACGAGATGTGGTACCCCCCCTATCCCTCACGTAGCCATTATCTTACATTGCGGACAACATGATAAACCCAAAAAAAATTGATTACCTACTTTTTTTTGACAAATTTGAATTATAGGTAATAATTATATTCTTTGAACCCAAACGTTGACGTGAGATTTTAAATGACCCTTAACATGAGATTTGGTGAGATTTTGCTAGACCCCTCCCCCCCTATTTTTATCTCACGTAATTAATGGATGTATCCTTATAAATATGGGCAAATAAATTTGTTTTATCTTCTAGCGGTCTATAAATTAAACTTTGTCGTCGTTAAAACTTGACACTAAAGTAATTGATTATGGCCTAGGCACATAAAAACTTCCGAGGCTAGTAATTAGTTCGTTTATTTCTTAATTAAAACAAAAGAAAAAATGATTTTTAAAATGTTCGATTTTTTCCTTTGGCAAAGATATGGTGTCTCTGTATGGTGGTATCTAAAGTTTAGATTCTAAACGTAAGATTTCGGCTAGTGTTGCAAACAAGGAAAAGTTCGGTCGAAAAGTTGGAAAAGTTCGGCACCCCCTATGAAAAGTTGTAAAAGTTATTAGGTTATGAGTTGACTTCTAACCAGTGTTTCCACTACCATACATTTTTTTTGGTAGATAATTTGGTCAAAATTCGATATAAATCGCTAGATTTTAATACCCGTTTGCACCAACATATGGCTTAATCAAGATTAACTAATCTCAATTAAATTATAACCGTGATTAAATTTACCTCGGTTTGCACCATCCAATTTATAGCTAATCCTCTTTTAACTTTGATTAGGTGAAAAACGCGGAAAATGTGTGTTGGTATGTTGGTTATAACCCTATATTTTGCTGATAGGTTCGTACCACTGTAGCGTTCAAACGTCAAAAACGTCTAAAACTTGTCATCTGTAGAATAATTATTTACCTTTATTTATCGTTTTACCTAAAGCGGTGTGTAAAATAATAATAATGGACATTAAAGAAAAAAGAGTTGAATTGATAAATTTTGTTAATCAATAATTTAATTATTCGGTAGGTACCTTAATATTACAAATTAGCAAAATACTTATTTTAAATTGTTTTAGCGTACCGGCGGCGATATCATTTTGGTCGTCATAAATATTGGAAATTTGTCCTTCTTCTATTAATCGATTCAGTACGTGGGCATCTAATTCATCCGCTATTGGTGGTGTTTCAAAATCTCTCATATCCAGCGCAATGTTATGGAGAACGGCTGCCGCAACAGGCAATTAGAAAATCGGCCAAACAAACCCCGTATTCTGCAATTATTGAAGATTGTAGCATAATGCACGGCGCCTGGCCACCTTGCCACCACGTTCAATATTGAAAAATATTCGTCACCTCCAGGAGATTGTATCCGAATATAGGTGCAATAAATAGTTCCAACTACTCGAGGAAATGTGCCACATTGAATAATCGCTGTTGTTTTCTTCTCAATTCATCTGGAAAAGTTGGAAAACGCACATATTCATTGTATAATCTTGCGATAGCTTCAGATACTCTAGCAACAATGCGCCAAACTGTTGACAAAAGCATTCCCATATAGTCACCAATTGAATCCAAATCCCCCCCGTTGAATAGAGATGAAGACATGTTAATAATAATTATTAATTAATTATTGATTATTAATTAATTATTGATTCATCGGCGTAACATAATTATTTATAAAATGACGAATGATTGCAGTTGTAAACTAAATTATTTACATTGACCTATCTGTAGGATACTCCAATTCATCTTCGATCCTCACAAGAAGCTGATACACACAGAAACCGTTTTCAAAAAGTGCTTTGGTCCAAAGTGTCAAAGTACGAATGCCTTTCATAAATTTGTCGCGAAACCGTTTTCAATGAAATCGACCACTTCATGTCGTCGTCTTCCACAATAGGAAATTGTAACTTATTCATTTTTTTAATAAAGGTATAAAAAGAGAAGTCAACCTTTCAAAACAGCAAAATGAGGTTAGACTACTGTTTTGCCAGGCAATGGCGCCTTCTAATCATGATTTAAATACTAACCGCCCGACTATTCACCGGTTATTTAACCAACCCCTTAACCACGGTTAAGTGAATGGTGCAACGAAGTTTTCTGGATTAGCCAATTTAATCACGATTAAAATGCTAACCCACGTTGGTGCAAACGGGCATAAGTGTTTTTAGTAAAACATGCTGAAAGCATTGTTTTTTGGAATAACATTTTGTCAAACTTAATCAAAAATGGTGTCTGCTAACAGCATTTTTTATTATATAAACGTATATAACGTATTTTAAATTTATACACAGTATGAAAAAAATATTATTTTTTTTAATTATGGAAATTTGCAAGTGAAAATATAAAAGTGGAAAAGTTTTCTTTTCTTTTTCTTTTTAAATTTTTACATGTGAATTTCCATAATTTTTAACAACAATAAATTTAATAATTTTTGCTTCATATGTTTTTGTAATTATTTTTTATTTTGTATGTGTTTTTTTATGGTGTGTATAAATTTCTATTCCTTTTTACCTAAAAAATATGATTTTTTTAATTCAAACCTAGTTTATTTTTGTTGTTATTATGTTGTCTGTTCATTTTATTTTGTTTGATATTTTTTTTTGTTATTTTGTTACGTATGTATACTTAAATACATATGAAATAAATTATTTTAATACATTGACAAGCATTATTTATGTTTTATACGTTTACATTACAAAAAACTCAACTTTTCCATCTTTTCCGAAAAATAAAACCCAACTTTTCAAAAATTTCAACTTTTCATGAAAAGTTGCAACCCTAATCTCGGCGTCTTTTAAAATCTTCAAAAAAGGTTACGAAGCGTTGGTCCAAAATTGCACTGATCACTTGATTTTACTGATACATTTTACTTGGTTCAAGCATTTATTATAGGTACCAGCAAAAAAGCATACATTGCTAAAAAAAAATTAACCAAATTTTCAGAAAAAATTCATAGAAAAATACCAGAAGCCGACATTTTTCGAAATTTAAAAAACAAAAACCTTTAATCATCCTCAAGATAAACTATTACAATATGGCTTTTTTAGGGCGTCGTTGAATACTACGTAAAGTGGAAAGGCTGGAGCCAAAAACACAACACCTGGGAACCGGAAGAAAACATCCTCGACGGGCGATTGATCGAGCTGTACGAAAAAAGCCAGAAAAGTGATGGGCCGCACAAAAGGGGCCCGAAGAAGAAAGAACGGCCCGCAGCGCCAGCGGCGCACGTGGAAACCGAGGACGAGAGCCAAAAGAGCGGCGAAGAGAGCCAAGACGAGGGGCCGCCGCCTCTGAAACCGGGCAAAAGGGAAAAATCCCCGAAGGAGGACGAGGACGCACGAGCCGGTTCGGAGGAGAAGACCTCGGGGGACAACGACAACTCGAACAGCTCGAGCAGCGAGGACAGGAGACCTTTGCTGTCGAGGATAGACGTGGCGGGGACCAAGCGGAAGGCCGAGGTACTGTCGAAGGAGAGCGGAAAAATCGGGGTAACTATCACGACCAGTAGTCCTACTAGCTCCAGTCCGCCGCCTGCAAAGGTAAGAGGATTGCGACCCTTGAGGAATACTGATTTCAGAAACACCTCTAGTCTTAAAAGCAAAAACATTGACGTTTGAATAAGGAAGTGAATCCCATTATTTTGTCTTATTTTCTAAAAATAATATTTTGATTGTGGAACATACTGCATCATTGAAAGTTCAATTTAATTGATATATCATTGCATTTAAAGGACTAGGGTTGTTTCTGAATTTGGTTATAGTTTTAAGATGTTACTTTACTTTTTGGCTTTTTATTATAGGTACCTTTTTTCTGTTCGTTTTTTACTCTTTTTAATTATTTATTTAATTATTTTTTGACGACCTTTTTTGTTGCTTTTTGACTTTTTTTATTCCTTTTTTGACTACTTTTGGACATTTCTGTTTCCGCTTTTTTAAATTTGATTTTTTTGTGTTTTTCTTTGTTGCTTTTTTACTTACTTTTTTGACATTATTTTGTTTTTTACTTTTTTTAACTAGGTACTTTTTTGTTTTTAATTTTTTTAAAACTTCTTTTGACTCTTTTTTTGTAATTTTTATTTTGTTATGAATTTTTGTGACAATTTTTATTTTCTCACTTTTGTCTCTTTTTTTCACTTTGTGGATTATTTTCAGTAGGTACTTTTCTTATATTATTTTTTCTTTTGTATTTTTTTGAGTTTCTTATACTTTTTTATTAGGTACTTTTTCTTTTCTTTGTTGCTTTTTGACTGACTTTTGATAATTCCTTTTATGGCTTTTTCTGTTTTATACTTTTTTGACTGACTTTTGTTTTTTTCAACTTTTATTTTGTTTGACTATTATTTTTTGGCATTTCTTAGTTGCTTTTTTACTGACTTTTTTAGTTTTTTATAACTTTTAACTATTTTTTGACGTCCTTTGGTTTTTTGTTACTTTTTTGTCTTTTTAATTTTTTTTTCTGTTCGTTTTTTACTTTTTTTATGTTTTTATTTATTTATTTAATTATTTTTTGTCGACATTTTGTTGCTGCTTTTTGACTTTTTTCGTTCCTTTTTTGGACATTTATTTTTACTTTACTTTTTTATATTTTTCCTTTTTACTTTTTAGGCATTGTTTTTTGACTTTTTTGAATTTTTGTTTGATTATTTTCTTAACTTTTCTTATTTTATTTTACTTTTCTGTCCTTTTTTGAGCATTTTATACTTTTTTTATTAGGTAATTTTTTAGAACTACCTAAATAGTTTATTTTATTTATTTACTTTTTTAAACTTTTTGTACTTTTTACTATTTTGTTTTACTTTTTTTATTTAACTTTTTTGACATTTTCTCCTTCTTCATACCTTTTTGACAATCTTCTTTGGACTATTTTATAACTTAATTTTGTTTACATCTCACATTTTTTATTTTCTTACTTAGTTTTGACATTTCATACTGATCTTTTTATACTTTACTTTTATTACTTTTTTATTTTATTTTTTTACTTTTATTATTTCGTTTTACTTTTTTGTTACTTTACTTTAGTTTAATTATTTATTTAACTATTTTGACATTTTCTACTTTTTCGTTGTAAAATATGTAGTATTTTGATAAATAAATTTATTATTATTATTATTGTACTTTTTTTGATTTTTTAAAACTTATTTTGATTTTTTTTACTATTTTTGGACAAAACAACACTTTTTGGCAGTGGTGCACACACAATTTTACCTTCATGATAATTGTTTTATTAATTATTTATAGATCTACATATATTTATATAATTATAAATAAAAAGCAAAGTAATAAAAGCGGCCGAAAAAGTGGTATTTTTTTCGGCAGCTTTTGAGTATCATCACTAGATGGCGCCTCAATAAAGAAAGCGGCCAAAAAGTACAATTTTTCGGCGGCTTTTGAGAAATAAAATTCCAATTTATTGTTTATGTCGAAATTCGACAGTCGAATGCATTTTTTTTACTTTTTTAACATATTCTTAGTAGTACTTTTTTAAATACAAAATTAACTTACTGCACAAGTAATTTAAGATAATATATTATATAGTAAATTTAAAAGGAAACGACGTACACACGATTGTCAATGTGATGCTAAAATAATTGCATCAAGTGAAAGTGGTAGTGCAACTACAGGGCGATAGATAGCGTTTACAGGAATAATACCATAGGGTCCCTAGATTTGGGACCTTAGAATACCAAAATGTCAAAAGTCAGAGTTTTAAACCCTATATGATGCACCGCCAAAAGTATGTTTTTAGCCATTTTAAAGACATTTTCAGCTATAAAACCCAGAAATTTAGCCATCTAAAGCCAGTCTCTGGTATATATATATATATTTTTATTTTATGTATCCAACATATATTTTGTTAAATATATTAATAATTAAGGTGTCCCTAAACTTAGTGGCATAAATTTAGGAGCAGATTAAGCAAAAGTCAAAATAAGACGAAAATCTAAATAAATATTTTTCCTAATTACGTATGTTTAAAAGATACAGGGTGATAAAGTGTTACTTATCATATCAGTTTTTTTAATATAACTTCTACTATGGTAGACTTGGAAAGGTGATATTTTACGAACAGTCACTTACCACCAAAACATATTCACACGTACTTATAATTGTTTTAGTGAACACATTGTCGTAGAAACAGGGGTTTTTATACCATTTGATGCAATTTTTCGAATACTCAGTTCGGCTACTATTAAAAATGTGTACCTCTCAAACTTCGATAACTCCGAGATATTTGAGATTAAAAAATAAAATTTGTTAATCCTTTTAAATAATGCGATTTATCTCGGAAACGATTTATTTTATAGAAGTTTGAGAGGTACACCTTTTTAATGGTAGCCGAACTGAGTAATCGAAAAATTGCATCAAATGTTATAAAAACTCAACCTCAAATTTTGTATGTGACAATAAGCTTAAAGCAACCCCCGTTTCTACGACACTGTGTTCACTCAAACAATTATAATTATGTGTGAATATGTGCTTTGGTAGTAAGTGACTGTTTGCAAAATATCACCTTTCCAAGACTACCATAGTAGAGGTTATATTAAAAAAACTGATATAATAAGTAACACTTTATCACCCTGTATCTTGGAAACTTAAGTAATTAGAAAAAATATTTATTTGGGTTTTCATCTTATTTTGACTTGCTCAATCTTTTCCTAAATTTATGCCAATACGCTTAGGACCTTGTATAATTAATAATAATCCTATTTCCTCTCTAACAGCTGTTAAAAGTTATCCCGTTCTGCCTCAAAATAGCGTTTTAAGGATGATACCAACCCTTGACTCCGACTATTTAAATGCATCGGCATTTTAAATATAGGAAAAACAAAAAAACGATATATAACAAACACAAAAACGGCAATGAAAACGATATAAAATAACACAAACAAAGTAAACGAATTATACACGAATTATAAGAAATATTCAAAAACACAACTGACGTCTTCAAAATTCTAAAATGTCAATTTATTTTTCTATGCGTCATTTTATTAAGCAAAATTCTAATCCAAACATGACAACATTGCAATTGTTGCCAACTAAAGTAGTTTAAAATGCATTAAAATATTCAATTACAGACATTGCTATACATTTAGTGTTGGTACCAGTGCGCAAAATTATGACGTCATCGATGACGTGTACGTCGTTACCTTTTAAATTTACTATATAGTAAATTTAAAAGGCATATAGTAAATTTAAAAGGAAACGATGTACACGTCATTGACGACGTCATAATTTTGCGCACTGGTACCAACACTAAATGTATAAAACGAAGTCTGAAATTGAATTTTTTAATGCATTTTAAACAACTTTAGTTGGCAGCAATTGCAATGTTGTCATATTTAGATTAAAATTTTGCTTAATAAAATGACGCATAGAAAAAGAAATTGACGTTTTAGAATTTCGAAGCTGTCACTTGTGTTTTTGGAATATTTCATTTAATTCGTGTATAATTTCGTTTATTTTGTTTGTTGTTTGTGTTATTTTATATCGTTTAAGTTTTCATTGCCGTTTTTGTGTTTGTTATATATCGTTTTTTGTTTTTCCTATATTTAAAATGCCGAAGCATTTAAATAGTCGGAGTCAAGAGTTGGTATCATCCTTAATACGCTATTTTGAGGCAGAACGGGATAATAATGGACATTTATCTCCACGCGGTCTATAATTTAAACTTTATTGTTGTCAACATTCGATAGAAATACCTTGTTATGGCCTAGGCCGATAAAAATTTTTATGAGGCAAGTAATTAGTTCGATTTTTTCTCGCTAGGGGTATTGTTTTGACAAATTAATCCTTTTCTAAGAAATTAACGTACTCAACTGGTTTAATTTATTTATAATACGCACTAATTTGTTTGTTTTACTGTTAATGTTTAATATTTTTCATTAAATTATTGTAAAATTAAATATGAATAATAAAACAAAAAGTAAGGTTAGGCAACCAAGAAAACGCACGATTCTTTTTCTACAATTTAAATTAAGTTTTAATTTGCTTTAAGTTTTCAGTGAAATTAAATGTTAAACACAGCTTAAACATTCCAAACTACCTATTTTTTAAATAAAAATCCAAACAACCCAGATAGCACAAAGGTATACATGGACGTCCAATGGACGTATGCTCGTGGACGTCTGTATGTACATAGGATGTCCATTTTTTTTCTGTGGACGTCCCATGGACATCCGTTTAGAGTCCAGATGTCACAACTTTGGACATCCATAAGTCGTCCACCGATGGACGTCTATAAGGTGTTTGAACCATTCCTCCAGCATCCAGGACCTGCTTTTTTGCTTACTTTAACTGTTTTCTGCGACTGTATTATCATTGCGATGTTGCAGAAAATTTTCTACAACATGACTGAAATGCCTTTTGTCTGGCTCAGTAACAATCCCACTAGGAATATAAATATTCTAAAAGTTGTTAAAAGTTACAACATTCAATGTTGAACATTGCAGGAAATCCTTGTATTCGACTCAGGAACATTACATTTGCAAGTGTTTAACATTTCATTGATAGCTTAAGTCCTTTATAGCACGCGCTTGCTTGAATGTCAGTGAGATTGATCATAACTGTTGTTATGCAGCCAACAATACGTTTTAACTTGCATTTCTGTAATAATAATTATGGACGTAAAATGGACACTATATGGACGTCCATTAAAATCGTACAAAGGATCTAAATATATGGACGTACATAGTACATCCATTTTTAGTCCGTGGACCAATGTACTTAAAATGGATCTTAAACGGACGTCCATTGGACGAATGGTGCTATCTGGGAAATTGAAATTAGATACCTACCTATTTATTAAACAATTAATTGACTTCAATGTAATAGCAAAAATCCATTTCTACTTAAATCATGTTGCTACGTATTGTCAAACTATTACTGCTTCTAAAAGCAATAATAATTATTGTACATTAAATCTAATCTTTAGCTAATAAATAAATGAGATTCTAAAAAAGTGAGGTTAGGCCGCTTTGATTTGAATTAAATTGACCTATATAAAGTGCTTTGAAGATAAAATGTTGTATGCCATTCGGCCAAGAAGTGCCTTTTTGTGCATCGCTCAATTGTAGGCCTCCGCTACGCGTCGGTCTTCAAACCTTGAGCTTAGCACAAAAAGCCTTACTTCTTAACCTAATGACATAAATAACTATTGTTACCTTTAACAGCTGTTAGAGAGGTAAATACGATTATTATTAATTATATATTAAAACAGAATATACTATGTTGGATACATAAAATAATAATATATATAACAGAGACTTACTTTAGATGGGTTTTATAGCTGAAAATTTCTTTAAAAATGGCTAAAAACATACTTTTGGCGGTGCATCATACTCTGACTTTTGACATTTTGGTATTCTAAGGTCCCAAATCTAGGGACCGTATGGTATTATTCATGTAAACGCCATCTATCGCCCTGTAGTTGCACTACCACTTTCACATAGCATCACATTGAGTTTGAGTTTCATTTGGAAGTAGAAATGTTGCAAAAAAAATAATTGTTTCCTTCCAGACCCCGAAAGTGTCCAAATCGGCCGCACCGAGCCGGGTGAACGGCCGACAAAAAGCGGAAGAGGACACGACCTCGTCGACGATCCCGTCGGCCTCGAGCCCCGCCGTGCTGACGGCGACGGCGGCGCGCACCAGCGCCGACAAGCGGCCGCCGCCGTCGACGGACGCGACGTTGCCGCACTCGTCGGTCAAGGAGCCGGCGTCGCCGAAGCCGGTGGCCTCGCGCACCGACGAGAAGCGCGCCGACAAGGCGAAAGCGGCCGCCGAGGCGAAGCAGGCCGACAAGCCGCCCGTCAACGGGCACCACAACAACAACGTACCTGCCGCGGTCACGAGCCCGGGCTCGGAGTACTGGATCGCGCGGAACCCCGTCGCCGACCAGGTCTTCATCACCGACGTCACCGTCAACCTCAAGACGGTCACCATCCGCGAGTGCAAGACGGAGAAGGGCTTCTTCAAAGACAGAGACAACGGCCATTCGAACGATGTGGTTTGACTGTCCAAGAGTGCGCGTAGTGCGGGTGAACGTACAGGGTAGCTCGGAAGCTGGAGCGATTTTTTTGGTGATTCTTTTTCAAAAAAAAAAGTGTTTTCTTTGGGAAATGGCCAAAATAAATTATTTTGGGACAGTGTTTTTTTATTTTAATCAATGACTTCAATAACTACCCGGACAACATTCGTGATATTCTTACGAACATCATGTCGTGATTTTCACAAATTTTATTCGTACTGATATCATAGGAAGTCACTGCGTGAGAAATGAAAATCATATCGTGATTTTTTATGCCATCGCTGTTTGCGATTGACCGATGGCCTAAAAAATCATGTCGTGATTTTTTATGTCAACGGTGTTTGGATAATCATTTTTGCGCCACGTTCGTATACTAAGAGAAAAATTATGTTGAATCAACAGTTTTTGCGGTTAATTACATTTAATATTTTCTTGGATTTAAATTAACTATATATAGTTAATTTAAATCCAAGAAAATATTGAATGTATTTAACCACAAAAACTGTTGATTCAATATATATGTGGGTATACTTTTTCTCTGCGAATGTGGCGCAAAAATAAATATCCAAACACCGATGACATAAAAAATCACGACATGATTTTTTAGGCTATCGGTGTTTGGGCATAAAAAATTTTTTTTATGCCATCGGTGCACCGACATGTTTGGATATTTATTTTTGCGCCAAATTCGTACATTGAAAGAAAAAGTATGTTAACAATTGAATTAACAGTTTTTGCGGTTAAATACATTTAATATTTTCTTGGATGTAAATTAACTATTCATTTAAATCCACAAAAATATTGAATGTATTTAACCACAAAAACTGTTGATTCAATATCCATATATGTAGGTATACTTTTTCTCTCAATGTACGACTGTGGCGCAAAAATAAATATCCAAACACCGATGGCATACAAAATCACGACATGATTTTTTATTCCATCAGTGTTTGGTTATAAAAAATCACGACATGATTTTTTATGCCATCGGTGTTTGGATATTCATTTTTGCGAAACATTTGTACATTTAAAGAAATAGTATGTTAACAATTGAATCAACAGTTTAACATTCAATATTTTCTTGGCTTTAAATTAACTATATATAGTTAATTTAAATCCAAGAAAATATTCGCAAATATCACACCGTGAGTTATACATGATATCACTGTGATGAAGCATGTGTATGCACTCAGCGTAATAAAAAAAAATCACGTTGTGATATCATCATGACTTCACCAGGAAATCCCGATTGTTGTCCGGGTACAAAACAGGAAAATACTATTTCTTAAAGATTGCGGTTAAATGCAAAAATACGTATAGAATTAATTCTTTTTTACAGATTTTTTATATAAGCTTATATAAAAAATCTCGGGTGAAATTCACTGCGCGTCAAAATTAACGCATAAAAACTCTAAAACGCCTTTACCAATATTTATGAAATTTTGTATAAAAATACTTACATCTCAGTTAACGTTTTCAATGGTTTTTCGAGAAAATATTTGTAAAGCCCTTTCATTTAATAATAAAAAAACGTTTTAAAAATAACTTTTAGGGATTTTTTTAAGTAAATAAAAAATATGCTGTTAAACACCGTATTTTTGTTTGTATACCATGAAAATTTTGTACAAATCAAACGAACAGTAACGAAGATACATCGCTTCAAAGTCGGTAAAAACGACCCCCTTTCGATTATTTTGCTGAAAAAGTGGTCAATTTTGACGACTTTGAAGCGCAGTATTTTCGTCACTGTTCGTTTGATTCGTACATTTTCAGGGTATACTAACAAAAATACGGTCTTTCACAGCATATTTTTTATTTTCTTAAAAAAATTCCCTATATAAGTTTTTTTTGAGCGTTTTTTATTATTAAATAAAAAGGCTTTAAGAATATTTTCCAGAAAAACCCTTAAACATGTAAACTGAGATATAAGTTGAAGTATTTTTATCCAAAATTTTATAATTATAAACATTTGTAAAGGCGTTTTAGAGTTGGATTTTTTACTTGCTACGCGTTAATTTTGACGTTAACATTATTTTTATAATTAAATATCGTCGATTCTAACCTTGAAATTTAAATTTTTATTAAACTTATAATAAAGATTGAAATTTAGAAATTCTTAGACTCGTCAATATTAAGTGATAAAAATTTATTTTGTATGCAGTGTTTAAAATTTTCGAAAAAAACAAAAAATTTAGAAAATTTTCCGAGCCTTTAAAACATGACAAGCATTTTAAACGGAGAAAATGAAAAATTTACAGAATAATTGTATTTAGCACAATTTAATTTAATTTTCTGTATGAAATGCTTTTCTGCAAGGTCCGGAAAAATGGATTTTAAAAAAGTTATAAACCAAGTTTCTACTCATTTTTTATTTGAGCTTTCGTTTTCAGATTATCGATCTTCTTTTGTTTTTACACAAACCTTTTTATCTCCGCTATTTATGGTCGTATTTTGGAATTGTCTTTTTAAAATCCAGAAAAATATCGACCAACAAAAATAAAGAGGTTTATATAAAAACAAAAGAAGGTCGATAATTCAAAAACAGAAGCTCAAATAAAAAATATTTGTTTAAAAGTCTTAATAAGCCTTTAAAACATGACAAGCATTTTAAACGGAGAATTTGCAGAAAAATTGAATTTAGCACATTTTTTAATTTTCTGTATAAAATGCTTTTCTGCAAGGTATGGAAAAAATATTTTTTTTTGAAAAATTGGATTTTAAAAAAGTTATAAACCAAGTTTCTACTCATTTTTTATTTGAACTTTCAGTTTATCGACCTTCTTTTGTTTTTACATATACCTTTTATCTCCGCTGTTTATGGTCGTATTTTGGAATTGTCTATTTAATTTCCTCAAAAATATCGTCCAACAAAAATAAAGAGGTTTATATAAAAACAAAAGAAGGTCCATAATTCAAAAACAGAAGCTCAAATAAAAAATATTTAAAAAAGTCTTGATTAGCGTTTAAAAGCGTCGAACAAAAAAAAACAAAAAAGTATAGTAAAGAGTATATTAAACTGCTTTTTTTGTTTTTTCTCGGGCCGGAAAAATTGTCTTTGTTTTGGGAAAAATTGATTTTTTTTATATTTAAAAATACAAATATTTCATTATAAAAACATTTTTTAAGATATTTGTTTTTTGACATAAATTTTTTCGAATCTTGCAGAAAATATTTTTTACTGCAAGCCCTTTAAACGAAAAAATTGGTAAATTTGCGTAAAAATTAACTTTTGCATATTTTTCGTATTTGTAGTATTTTTAGCAGGGATAATATGAAACATTTTTTCTAAATATTCGGAAATTTTTTTACAATTCGTACTACAGATAATACGGAGACAATTTTTTTGAAAATTTTAATATTGCAGTCTACAACCTCTATTTGAGTTTGAATAGAAACACCTTGTGTAGGGTTTTCAAAAAGAGTACATTTTGAGCCATTTCCAGTTTAAATTAACACTTTATTCGAAAAACTAATCATTCTTAAAAAAAAACGAAACATTTATTTTTGTCGAGAATCTGTTGTACAGTGGTGGACTGGCGGTGCTAAATTATTATGTGGGTACTTTTCGCTCAAAAATATAAACTAACGTGACAAATTTAACCAAAAATATTTTTGTACATTCTAGTCTTTAATAAGATTTCAACCAAAATTTGGCGCCCTTAATTTTTTACTGCCCTACAATCCATTATAAGTTTACATTCAACATGCAAATTTACAATGGATAATTTTATTTTATTAATAAATATTTAACATCACCCATAACTTGTATAAACAACATACAGTATTATACATAATTTAATTATGCATTGTTATATAATTTATATTATAGAGAAGTACCCACGCCTTCGAAAATCACTTTTATGTTTAAAACCCATTCCATTGAACATGATCCATTATTGTTTGATGCATTACTTTAATTATTTTGTACCTCCTATTATTAGACCTTATTGTTGATTACTTATTTATTACGTAACTAATTTATTTTTTATTAAAATTATGGCGACTTTTTTTTTACCTTAATTTGTACATACTTTTTTAATTATGTAAATGCTAAATTCCCCATCGAAAATAAATATTTTTGTTAATGCTTGGGGCGTTTATTTTAAGCTGTAAACTTGTATATAGACTGTAAATTAATTTAAATTTAAAGATTGTTTTTTGTTAATGTTAAGGTATTTTTGAAATAAAAAAGTAGATAAAGTGCCAATGTTTTATTTCAGGATTGGGGCTAAAAATAATTGAAAAAACTCAAATAAAAATTTTTTCTTTGCATCATTTTTTTTTAAACAAGGAAAATTAAAAAAATTAAATAAGAACAAAAATTAAAATATTTTTTAATTCGGATTTTTTTAAACATGGTTTATTTCTTTAACGTACCAAATTAAAATAATTAAAAACTGCATTTCAGTTTGAATTTCTATTAAAATGAGCTTTCAAATGATGTAAAAAAATAGTGTTCTAATTTCAGGATATAGAAAAAATAAAATAAAAAACAGCCCAAGATGAGAAAAATGTGCTTAATAAATTTATTAATAAACTGAACTTAGAATTGCTAACCATAATATTGCACATATGAAATTACGTTAGTTTAATATAAAAAATATGTTCCAATTGCATAAAATAAACAATTTGTATCTAAAAAATACTTGGGACATATGGGTTATAAAGTTTTACAAATCACTATCACATTTTTAAATATTTATACCTACTTATACTTAAAACAATAAACAACAGACTTGTTATTTGTAAAAATTTAATGGTGTTTTTTACAATTCCAAGATTTAATAAAATTTATGTATAGTGCTGACTTAGTAAAAAGTGATAAAAGAATTATGATTTGCAAATATATAAAAAACAATAAAAATAAACGCTTTCAAAATTCAATTAGAGAACGCCTAAATGCAAAAAAATTTAAACTTTCACGTCATCATACAACGAGTTAATTCTTTGAAATCTTCGACTTTTTAATTTGTTGATGTCTTCGCTTATCGAGGATCTTTGCGAGAAAAAGTTTACCAGCGGCTCGGCATTCAAAATTGAAGCCAAAAACTGTTGTATCGTGATGTACCATTGAATTTCCGTTTTCGGAGTGGAGGGGTTTCCATTTTTGTCTGGGGACTAAAATTTTTATTAGAAAATTATTAATAATAACAAAGTAAGGTTAGCTTACGCAGTCAGAGAGAGTACCAGACCCACAGGCGGTAGCTGCATTAACTAAACTGTCTTCTGATTCATCTCTGTTAATGAAAAACTGTTTTCCGACGTCACCTAACTGCAAAAGCAGTGTACCAACATTTGCTATTGAATGATACATGTCCTAAAATAACAAAAACATTTTTGGCGATATTTCGGTGACATTAAAAGTGTTATAACTCCCTTAATTTTTATAAAAATGAATACAAAACAAAATTAAAGTCTAATAAACAATCTTTAAAACGATGTACTCAGAATTAGTTTAACTTTAAAAATGTCAAACTTACGCTTCTTTAAAGTTAACATTCTAAAACACGGTGTGTCTGAACGAAGTTTAAGTCACATAAAAATGCCGCCAAAAACTGATTGCAGTTTCTTGTTCGGGACCCTTTGATGACTTAAAAATTATATTTACCAAAATCCTATCTGCTCCTCTTTTCGATTTTTTTTTAAATTTATGTTTATCTTAAAGTCTGTCTACCTTTCACAGGGGTACACATTGGTACACCGATTTTTATAATATTGGAGTATATTGTTAAGGAGATTTGGAGAATACTTTTTTATACTGTGCACATCATTTATTATATACAGGGTTAGTCAAAAATCGCTTCTTTTAATAAAGCAAAAGCGTAAATTCATGATTTTGGCATAACACGCAAAAAATATGTTTTATATTTTTATGTTTATCAGGCTACAAAATGGGATTCTTATTAAGACTTTATACGAAAAATTGATTTTGAATAAAATTAAATAAAATAACATTTTTTGGTGATAAATCTTTTTTGTGCAATATGCTTTTTACTATATAAAAAAGTGATTTTTGGCTAACCCTGTATAAATCTAATGATGTGTTCAGTATGAATACAGTATTCTCCAAGTCTCGTTAACAATATACTCCAATATTATAAAAATCGGTGTACAAATTTGTACTCTGGCAAAGGTAGACTTTGCGATAAACTAATAATAAAAAAAAATGATTTAAAAAAAAAGCAGTTTGAATTTTGGTAAATATCGTTTTTAAATCTCCAAAGAGTGCCGATCAAAAAAATTTAACCAGTTTTTCGTTCAAAATTGAAAACTACTAAAAAACCTAAATTAAACAACATTTTAAATATTCTCTAAGCGTTATTTTATTTAATTTTAATAAAAATCTATTTTTTTATAAAAGGTTAATAAGAATGCCATTTTGTAACCTGATAAACGTAGAAATATCTTTAAAAAAATGGGGATAAATCTTTTTTGCGTGTTATGCCAAAATCATGAATTTACGCTTTTGCTTTATTAAAAATAAGCGATTTTTGGCTCACCCTGTATATATTAAATGATGTGAACAGTATTAAAAAGTATTCTTTAAGTCTCCTCAATAATATACTCTAATTTTATAAAAATCGGTGTTCAAATGTGTACTCTGTCAAAGGTAGACTTTGAAATAAACAAAAATTAAAAAAAAATCATGAATTTTCAAAAATTTTCGAAAAGAGGAGCAGCTAGGATTTTGGTAAATATCATTGTTAAGTCACCAAGGGTCCCGAACAAGAAACCAATCAGTTTTGGCGGCATTTTTATGTGACTTAAACTTACCCATTTTTACAAAAAATATGTAAATTATAAACTTTTAGATTTTTTAATGGTGTACAAGATGCATTTTGTAATTTTTTATAGATACCAAGGTTTTAAAGATACAGGTTGTTAAAGTTTGTCATTGCTTTTAGACCTTTACTTTGCAAGGATAATTTTAAATTGTTGCATTTTTCGCAGTTTTTGTAGGACTTTAAAATGTAATACGTCATTTTATTGCTAAAATACTATATTTTCAAAATATTATTACAAAACATTTTTTTTCTAAAAAGTATAAGAAAACTAGAGGCTCAAAGTAAATGTTACTTGGAACCATAGTATTAACTACGGATCTTGTAAAGTTATACTTCTATTAAAACATGTATAGAGTTTAAACAGATTTTATATTAATACCACTTCGTAACCAGTTGTTAAAAAGTTTATTTTTAGTAAAATAAAGCTTAAACTTACCGAGTCTTCTGGTTCAGGCTGCAGAATGTCGTATACAGTTTTCCAGAGGGTGATAAAATGAGGTTGCGACATTTTCGGCACAAATTTAAGATTAATTTTGCTATCTTTCGATTGCACAAGGTTCCTCAAGTTCGTCAGGCTTTTAACCTCCCAGTTCACCTCGCCATCGTTCTGCTGGCTCGACCACGAATCGTTCGACATTTGCGATTCAAAGGATTTTCTGGAAAAAAAATAAATGTCACGCCCCTGAATGGTTGTTCCGCACGTCAAAGTTTTTTTGATCATCAAATTTCTCGCCAAACCACTCATTTATAAGATGTATTTCACCAAATTCAATAGCCTTTTTGAAGCCGGTAATTATCTAAGTCGAAAGCATACTTTAACGTCCAAGTATTCGAAAACGTGCAAAAGGTATCGAGGTCCTTTGCCGTGGGAAAAGGACGAATGTATCGAGGTTATCGACCCCAATGAGGAACCGCCAGAAAGGATGCCTTGCGATAAAGACATGCCGAAAGGATTTATAACAAAAGTAAGTGGCTAAATATAACCTAATCATGCCAAAATTTTAAACTTTTACTCTAGGAATACCCAATGTCTCACGCAGTTCAGAAGAAAAAACTACCAGGATGCCCAGCGCCCAACTGGTTAAGGCTTTATAAAGATAAATGCTTATAAATAAAAAAACAATTTAAAATGTCATTTCAAAGTCAAAATTAATCATTTCATTTCATAAATCACAAATTAAAATGTTGCTAAAAAGGGTGCAAACCAAACTACCTCTGCCAAACATATATTTAGAAGTTTCGCGAAGTATCAAAAAACAAACATGCTGGGAAGACGAGGACTGTTGCGGTAAGAAACTACACCCTCCAAAACATGAGAAAATTGTGGTGGAAAAGGCTTGCTGTCCTTGTCCTTTTATATGGTACGAGCACAAAAAGCCCGTTTTGAAACCGAGACCGAAAGTGGAAATAGAAGTCGACGATGGGATACCAAAGGAGATGCAATGGTGCTACCCGGGAAAAGTCATCCCCCAAATAAACTTTGGAAAGGTTAAGGAGGACGGGATCAAATGTTTGGCGAGGACTACCGTGGCGGCCAGTTTAAAAATGGGGGGGAAAATTTGTCCCAAAAAAGGGGTAAGATATTCCAAACAAAAAACAAATCATAAAAAAATGTTGATGCACTATTTAAATTTGGCTTTAACTTTTAAACCTGTAATAAAAATTTAAAAAAGCATTCTTGCTGCCACATTCTCAATTCTGAAAGAACATTTCCCCAAAGTTTAAGCAAAATTTAAAAAATGATTTTATTTTAATTAAAATAGCATAAGTTTTAAACTCTAGGTACAAACGGTGAAATATATGAAACTGGACGATTTTTTCAAAAATCCAAAAATACCCGAAGCTACATGGAACACCGACTGCCAATTTTAACAATATAAAATCCATTCAGAATAAAAAAATATAAAAAAGTTAAAATTTGCTTTTTATTTTGAACGAAAATTCCCTCCTCTGTTTTTGTATCTCCTCATATAATCGAGAAATTCATTTTTCTCTAGCGTTTAATAGTTTATTATGTATCAAGTTTAATAAACGCCATTTTAGTCACGAATTTAATTTAGGCACGAGCGTGCTTGTGAGCGAGTGCTTAATTAAATGAGTGTCTAGAAAAGTTTATAAACAAGTTCCATACTATCCTTTTCCTACGACAAAGACTTAATATTATTATCTAAAAAATGATTTAAATTAAATATTTGTATAAAGCGACATCTCTACGAAAATAAAGTAACCGTCCCAATAAACATTTTTGACGTAATTTTGACCATTGACATTGCCCTTTATTATTTTAATTAAAAAATAATTGATACTTTAATTAAACAATAATTAATACTTTAAAATATTAAAATAACTACAAAACTACAAAACTATGGAAAGAAAATATGTTATCCTTTGATTTTTTTATTACTATAATTGCAAAATATTATTACAAAGTATTAAAAATTCTTACAAGGGAAGTAGTTTTTATTGGAATTCCCGTTAGAATTTCTAACTTGCGAGTTAAAAACTCAATTTTTTCTGTGTAAATCAAAATGTATACCTTGAAAATAGACTAACAATCGATATAGAGTTAGTTTTTCACAGTAAAAGAGAAAAGAAAGTTTTATGTGCACTATAAGCAAAATTTTTAACGCTTTATCAGTTAAATCAAAAGGTCAGTATAAACGTCCATATAATCTTTTCAAGTATTGGCGTCAATAAAATATTTAATACCTTTGTATTTTTGAATTGAGATAATAAAATAATATTAACATTTAGTATTATTTTACAAAACTTCAACCCGTGACTAAAGTGCCATAAAGCCACAACTTGTCGATGTGTATTTAAAAGGTCACTTAGTGTAGAAATGTGACTTGAAAAAAAACGATCCGTTTTTTTGTTTTTTTCAGTTTTTTTTTCATATTTTGATTTTTTTCAAGATTAGTTTCATTCGCCTATTTTTTATTTTTCCAGTCCAGTTCAAAGAAAATTTAGCCACTAAATGACATTTAGTAAATATACCTGCGGTGATCAGGCGTAGGGGTTTGTTTTGATTTGGTCTTAAAAAATGTAACTACCTATAATAGACTTCAAGAAGTTTTTTTACATTGTTATTGGTTTTTTATTTGTAAACTATTAAATAATAAGAAATCCAATTTTTTAGTCTCAGTCAAAATTTTAAATAATGGAAAATGTAATGTATTTTAAATTTGAGGCATATACTTCAAAAGCTTCCTAACTAAAAATAATAATTTTGGGTTTTTACCTTAAAATTATCCTATTATGCGCTTATCGAGTAAACTAGCCTAATAAAGTATTTTAATATAGTAGTAGTAACTACTCTTCTTATTAAAACACACTTTATTAAGCTAGTTCACTCGATAATAGTCCTATTCCTGAATAATTAAAGATAAAACAAAAAAAATGATATTTTTTTCAGTTAGGCCGCTTTTGCAATATACGCCTTATTTAATTTTATTATAATATACATTTTGCTCAAAATTTTATTTTGAAAAATTACTCAATTTTTTTAGATTGATGTTATTTATTAATAGAATATGCTTTATTGTAGCGCATTTGAAAAAACCGTAAAAAACCGTTTTTTAAAGGTTTTTTTCAAATCTAAAGAAAAAAAAAACGTTTTTTACATCTCTTACTTAGTGTCATGGAAACATGTATTATAATGGGCGTTTTAAAGATAGGAATAGAAAAAAGTTATCAAACCAACCTATAACTTGGAAACGAAAACCCAGAAACAACTTCATAACATGAAATTTTGTTTGAACTATTTTACAAACCGTTGTAAATTTCATAAAATTCTATTCAATAAAAAAAACACTAATAATGTACTTACTGCCAGGCGCCAGGCGACACAGCTTCTTCGGAATGCAAGCTCGAGCTATCGACGCTTTTCTCCGCGCTCTGAAAAAAATCTTCGGCCTCCGAGGCGATTTCGGCGCCGGATTCGTTTTTGGCGGGCGATTGCATGTCGGTCATGCACAGCAGCGGCGGCAGATGCACCGTGTAGAGCAGCTTCAAACGTTGAGCGGGATCCGCCGAGGTAGTCAAGCCGATAGCTGCAGCTAACTCTTTGAAGTCTATGTAGCCGTCTCTATTTTTGTCCATCAACTAAAATACACGCATGATTGTTGATGCAACTGCTCGATTTAATTTGTGCGTGCCCGGGCCGCAATAAGTACAACCCGGTAAATGTTTCATTTTTATGCCTCAGGTGTCTGAAACGAGTCAAAAATGACAACAAAATCTAACCATCAGATCCCTTTTTTAAGTTATTGCCATTTTTGTTTTTATTATTATAAAAATATCGTATTTTATGACACAGGTCTTAATAAAAAATAGTAACTTTTTATAATATTATAGCTTACTAAACTTGCTCATACTGCAACTCATAATACAATACTGTAATAACATTGAAAGAACAGGAATTTTAACTTAGAGATACAACATAAAAAAAATAGGCCTTTTTTGAAGAAGATAATAACTTGTGCGTTTTGCAGAAATATTTTCTTCCAGAATTGCATATAATGCAAGGCATAGTAAATCGATTTTGATCAGGTCTTCTGGAATGGTTTTGTACCTGTTTTTGGAAAAGAGCAAGCGTTGGCATGGCCCAAAAATTAAATTAAATTTCAAATGTACTTTTCAACAAAAACACTTGACCTTAATACTTTAATAGTTTTCTAAGTTTCTTAAAATTCAAACATTTAGAAGAATGCCTTCATTATGTACACTCCTTAGGAACCTGGTCTAAACAAGCCATGGAGTCTGTTTATCGTGAATGTATTAAGTAATGAAATAAATATAAAGTCAGTAGCAGTGATTTGAATTTGAATTTGATAAAAAATTTACAAAAAGGTGTTGTTGACCTTTCCTTGAAAAATACACTGCGCGTCAAAATTAATGCAAAATAAGTTAAAAGATTCTAACTCTAATATGCATTCATCTTTATCTTATGTATAAAAATACTTCAACTTATATCTCAGTTTACGGGTTCGAGGGTTTTTCGAGAAAATATTTTTAAAGCCTTTTTATTTAATAATAAAAAAACGTTTGAAAAATACCTTGTAGGGAATTTTTTTTTTAATATGCCTATAAAGACCGTATTTTTGTTAGTATACCCTGAAAATTTTGTACAAATCAAACAAACAGTAACGAAGATACAGTGCTTCAAAGTCGGTAAAAATTGCCCCTTTTTGAATATTTTGCTGAAAAGTTGTCATTTTTGAAGACTTTAAAGCGCTGTATTTTCGTTACTGTTTGTTTGATTTGTACATTTTCAGGATATACATATAAAAATACGGTATTTCACAGTATATTTTTTATTTACTTAAAAAAATACCCTTTAAAAGTTTTTTTTCGAACGTTTTTTTATTATTAAGTAAAAGGGCTTTAAGGATATTTTCTCGAAAAACCCTTGAACACGTAAACTAAGATATAAGTTAAAGTATTTTTATCCAAAATTTTATAAAGATTGGTAAAGGCGTTTTAGATTTTTTTTTACTTATTATGCGTTAATTTTGACGCGCAGTGTATTTAAATTAATACTTGGTTTGGGATTTTACGATGTTTAATAAATATTTTCATAAATTACTTCTGTTGTGTGATTTTTAATGTAATTTTGAATAAAAATTAAGTATAGACAAAATGAAACCGGATATAAAAAATTGTAAAAAAATAAAACTAAAAAGGTCTTTTTTTTAAATTATCGTAATAGGTACCTAAAATTTTGTCATAATCCCAGTAGGTACCTAATAAAAAAATAATTGCATAATATTTTACTATATTATAGTAACGGACTAAAAACAAAAAAGTAGCGAAGTGGTGCTGTAGTTTTAATTTATATCATACAAAAAACTAGAATTATTAAAAATATAACAAAAAATTACAAAAACATGAAAGACAGAAAAGGTGTTTATTAATGCGGGGGTTTTCTCTAATTACTGTTGGTTTTTGTTGTCATTTTTTTTAACTTCTGACCCGTTCTGGACCCCTGTGATGCTTTTAGCTGCAGAGTTTGTTCTATTAGAACCTACCTACTCATTTCATTAACATTTTAAAGCTGAAATAGATATTCTACAGCTAAATAAAAATAAAACAATGCAGCAACAATGTTTGTCTTTTTTTGTGATTTGATCATTAAGAGTATCTTACCCTAAATATTCTTGCTGCCAAATATTCCGCGCATTCAGCCCTACCCCACGGCGATAGTGACGCAAATAACAATTTAAAGAACTCAAAGTCGATTTTGTAGGCTTCGTAAGGCTGCAGGGAGGGCTCGTGCTTATCGGGTATCGTTTTCTTCTGGCGGATTATCTCTTCTCTAACCAAACCTAGAAGATCCTAAAAGTGTAGTCAGTTTTTAAAACTCGATGCAAATTTATTAAGTGGGTATGCTTATTACTTGTAATTCTTGTTGCGTGAAATATCCATCGCTTATTACACATCTTATGACGTTTCTTTCGCATGTATCCTCAAGATCTTGCACCACTCTGAGGCGATGTTTGAGCCTCATTCTTTCTATCTGACCTGTTGTCAATAAGCCATACTTTCTGTATGATTCGTATATGAGTGTTTGGATTGAAATGCTCTGGAAGAAATATTACTTTTTTATATCTATCTATGCTCTAAAGGATTTTGTTATAAAAAGTTTACAATGTTATTTAGCCCTTAAAATACCTCTGGGCCATCTCAAATTGACCAGAAAAAAAGGGGTAGGTCGTTATTTTTTACCGAATTTTTTTTTACAGTTTCTCTACCGAAATCGATAACACCCGTATTTTTTTTTTGCTTAAATTTGTTTTGTTTACCCGTAGGAAATTTTTGAAAAATGGACAGAGACATAAATTTTTCTCTTTTTACAAGTTACATTTTTTTATTGAAAATGCGATAACTTGGCCAACAATGTTTCGATCGATACAATTTTTTTTAATTGTAGGTAAATACATACATACAAAAAATATATAAAGAATTAAGTGAATTCACACAATTTTTTTTACATTGTTTTTTCTAAAAAAGGCAAAAAAATTGAGGTCAAAATTTTTTTTGCTTCATATTTTTTTCGTTTGAAGTTGATAATATGAACAACTTTCACCAAAAGTCCTGAGTTGGCTAAATTCGTCGTTTTGGAGTTATTATTTTTTTTATGAAAATTCCATTTTCTAGTAAATTCGAGTTTCATCGCAAAAATTTTGTATTTTATCTAGGGTCATGAAACTGGGGTGTAATTTAGAACTTTTTGACATATTTAACATATTTTTGTCACTTCCGTTTTCACCGGAAATGGTCTTTTTATTTTTTAATGACACACCCTCGCAGCAAAAATTAAAAAACTTTTTTAGTACTCGATTTCCATTGATTATTCCTTATATCATTGATTAAGAAACTCAACGCTTAAATGCTTATATAGTTACGTTAGTGTGTGTATTTTATCAAAGGGATCATGGTGAATTATTTTGTTTTTAATTGTAAATAAAATTCAAGAACTAAATCCTTGCATTTTCATGTTTTGCCAAAGGATCCAATTCGGTAAGTACAGGGTGATCCCCTATAATGTCGCCCCCCTTTAACTTTTTTATTTGTGTCCCAAAAAAATTAAAAGTGTGGTTATGTAGGTTACAGTAGGTACTAAAAAATACGTTTTTTTCTATAGAAAATAGATCAATACACAAGGAAAAAAAAAGTTTATGTTTTTTCAATGGATCATCCTATATATGAATTTATTTTTCGATTCCTTGTAAAATTCTGAGCACAAACTGAAATACATATTTGAATTTGAAATGTCATCATTAAATTTTTTATAAACTGTTAAAAATCAAGAAGCCTCAGTATACCAAAATTTTTATTGAAAATAAATTACTATAGTGACATTATGTCAATGTCTTGTTAAATAAGTAAAAATGGCGTATTCAGACAGAGAAAGACAAACTATTTTATATTTTCTTTATACGTAGAAAAAAAGTATTTTTTAGTACCTACATAACCACACTTTAAATTTTTTGGGGCACTTAAAATAAAAAGTTTAAGGGTAGAGAATCACCCTGTACATTTGTTGGTGCAGAATTAAGTAATGATAACTTTACCTAAAATAATTTATATTTAAGTTTGGACATTTTAAAGAAATTAGTGAAAAATAATTTTTGCACAAACATAACCTTAAAATCAATCATTTTAATATTTGAATTCTCTAAAAAACGCCGACAACTGCATTTTAAACACCAAAATATACCTACGAATTCATGGCAACATAATATTATATTTAATACATAATATAATGGTATTTTACCGTTGAGTGGAGACTTAAGAATTCTTAATCAACGCTTTTAATAATGCTAAATTTAGACGACTTATTTGACGATTTTTACTGAATTGAAATGTTTACAATTTTTACGTTATTCACTACTAAAATGTGTAGTTATTGTATCTAATAGGTACAATTTATATTTACAGATACTGTTTGCATATTATTTCTTCATTCAGATTAACACTGTTTATTGAAAAACTGGTAAAAACTCAACCCAGGATTTCCTCTCGAAATACATCCAACAACACAACAAATCGATCCACGGTTTTTTTTTTCGATATTTTTTAACATTTTTCGACTTTATTCTCAAAAACCTTCGTTTGTTACATAAGCGTTTAACAGCTGATTATTAAAAGTTCTACTTTTGTTACGATGATAACAGCCGATGATAACAAACGAAAAAAATATATAAAGTAAAAAAATGTGGCAATGTCAAAATTTTGACCTCAAATTTTGTTTGCCTTTTTTAGAAAAAAAAAAATAAAAAAATATTGTGTGAATTTACTTCATTTTTAATATTTTTTTTGTATGTAGTAAATATTTAACTACAATTTAAAAAAATTCTAACGATCAAAACATTTTTGGCCAAGGTATCGCATTTTCAAGAATACTCGTAAAAAAAGAAAAATCGATGTTTCTGTCCATTTAAAAAAAATTTAATGATAATAATTTAAAAAAACAAGTTAAAGCAAAAAAAAATACGGGTTTCATCGATTTCGGTAGAGAAACTGTTAAAAAAATCGTTGAAAAATAACGACCTACCCCTTCTTTTTGCCTGGGCAATTTGAGATGGAAAGACCCCTTTTAACAATATTAGCTAGAGTGGCGGATCTGCAATAAATGGAAAACTTAAAACTAGTACTTACTCTTTTTTGTTCGTCGTAAGTCTTATTCCTAATAGCACCGCGTCCCTCGTCGTTGAAAACGCCCATCAGATAGTCGGCCAAGTGTTGCATGGCCTCCCCTTCGTCGCGACACTGCAGGAGTTTTTCCTGGTTCCATTCGAGCAACATCAGCGCCACCTGGAAAATAACCTTAGCACCGTCGTAGAAGAAGCAGTCCATCACGTTGACCGCGCTCTCGTACGGCATCACGCACAAGAAGATCGTGAGGAACCAGGAGAGAGAGATCATGTTAATCATGCCTGGAAAATTAAATTGTTTTTCATCCTCCGTGATATTTTTACCGGAAAGTTGTGCAGTTCAACACAATTTTTCTTCAATGAAAAATTTTAACAGTTTTCACGAAATCACTTCATTTAAATTTAAAGACATTCTTATTATTTTAACCTATACAGATTTTTAACTCTCTATTTTGTTATAAATCAATTTTTTTCTTCAAATATTGTTTGTTTTTACAGAATACAAAAATTATACTTAGGAAAATATTAATTTAAATTTTTTTAAATAAAAAAAATATATGTTTTTAATTTTTAATTTTTTTAAATAAAACAACAGATTTGTATGAGGCGTCATTTGTTTCAAAATTAAAAGTGCAAATAAACTTATTTTGCTTTATAAATAATTAATTATATGCATTATTTTTTTATGAAATTATTTTTTTATCAAATTATTTTTTATCAAATTATTTTTTTGTGAACCCGACGACCTTGTTTCCTTTTTTTGAGGGGAAATTTTTCGATTTGGCATATGATCTACCTTAAAAAATTAATTGAGCAACTTTCGATTTCATGTTTTTCAGAAAAAAATCCCCCCCTTATAAAAAAAAGATCGCGGTTTTCGAGTGATTGTTGATTGTTATGAATTAATTTTTGGTCGTAGATTACAAATCCGTGCTTGGTTTAGCTGTATTAGGTCAAAATTCAAAGATATTGGAAACACCCTGTATAAATTAAAAAAAAAATCAATTTGGCTGGACCCACACATCAGTTTCATATATTATTATGATATCCAATGCAAATCGTGAGAAATAAAAAAAAACAAATGTTATCTACAACAAAAAATAATTTCCGTATCTGTTAAAAATGAGCAATGAAATACTAATTTTTCCCCATTAAAAAAAAATGAGTAATGAAATAAATCCACATTACTCATTAAAATACAAAATTTAATGTAAATTCTTACATTACTCATTAAAAATTGAAAATGAGAAATGTACAAGCAGAGCTGCAAGCTCTCAGAAAACTTAAATCGTTTTTTTTGATTTAAATCGTTTTAATGACTTAAGTCATTTGGTAATAAGTCATTTCTCTAAAACTGACTTAAGACTTAAAATTTAAGTAATTTTCAAAATGATTTGTGACTTAAATATTTTTTTCAAAATAGAAAAAACTTAAGTCAGTACATACGATTTAAGTCATATAGAAACGATTTAAGTCAAAAAAAGATTTAAGTCTTTTTGAAAAAGATTTAAGCCTTTTTGAAAAAGATTTAAGTCTCTTTAGAAAATATTTAAGTCAGATTTTTCATAAATTGTTTTATAAATTTTTACAGTGGCATTTTCTTTTTTATTTTGATTGTCTACTATATACTCAAAAAATGTGTTTTAAGTTTTTATTTTGTTTGTAAGTGTTCTCAAAATAAAGATTTAAGTCTTTTTAGAAAATATTTAAGTCAGATTTTTCATATATTTTTTTTATAAATTTTTACAGTGGCATTTTCTTTTTTATTTTGATTGTCTACTATATACTCAAAAAATGTGTTTTAAGTTTTTATTTTATTTGTAATAAATAAATCGTTTTAAATTCTTAACATAGTGGTTTATTATCATCTGTATCTACAATAGATTAATAATATCAGTATCATTAATACCATAAAATTATTATTAACATTTAAAAAATCGTTGTATTGACTTAAGGGTAATTATTTTGATTTAAATCACAATTTTTGATTCAAGTCATTTTATTGACTTAACTCTTAGATCACGATTTAAATAAAAAATATAGACTTAAGTCATAAAAACGACTTACTTAAGGAATTAAATCATAAGATGACTTAAATCACTTTATATTGATATAAGATTTTGCGAAAATGACTTGACTTGAAAGAAAATTATTTAATTCAAAGACTTAATACTTAAATCATTTCAACTTTATCTTAGAATTGACTTAAGATTTAAATCATTTTGATTTTAGAATTGACTTAAGACTTAAGATTTAAGTCTTTTTAAAACTGACTTGTTGCAGCTCTGTGTACAAGTAATTCTCCATTAAACGAAAAAAAAATTAGTAATGTAAATTAATTTCATTACTCATTATGATAAAAATGAGCAATGAAATAGGGTAATGACACCAGTAATTGCCATTATAAGCTAGTGTTTACACAAAAAAGTAAAAGAAGAAAATAGATTTCGTCCTAATAAAAAGCCATGGTGGTTAATAGAAGGTCACTATATTACCAAACATTAAAAATTAACATTAAAATTAAGTACAATATATATTTTTTTTATTGAGGTATAGAGAACTAGTAATTGCCATGACCATTTTTAAAAAAACCAGTAGTTGCCAGTGTACCTGGCCAGTAATTGCCACTAATTTATTTTATTAAATAAAACAAAAAAAATGGAAAATGGCATACCACCTTGGCAAGCAGCCAATGCAGATTCTTTACTTTCTTGGGAATAGCGAAAAAAGGGATTGTTTTTTGGTTCCATGTTGATCAATTTGGATTTTATACCTGGATCAATAATTGCCACTAAAGTAAACCAGTAATTGACACATTCAAAAAGAGGTGGAAATTACTGGATTCTCTTTGAATATAATGTTCTTATTAATGTCAAGGATAAACTAAATATTATAGGTTAGTTTAGAGCTTTAATAAAGGTCATAATACGATAATCCAAAATTCTCCAGTAGGTAATTACCACAAATGGCAAATATTGGGTTAAAAGAAAAAAAATGCTCCAGTAATTGCCACTACTCTAAATCAAAATACTCTTTTAATTTAACGAACAATTTATATGCGTTTCATTTAAACTACTTAGCATATATGCCTATTGCACAAACAAAACTAAAATTGATTAACAACATATGCCAATATCATGAAAAACTAATCTTACACATTCTTAACCAAAGTCACAAGAAATCTTTTATAAACAGCTGATTCAACAAGTTTCCTGCATATTTTTTTCCTGTCGAAAAATGCGCCACCTGGTGGCAGTTGTTCTAAATACATAATACGCTAGATACACTTCCTTACACATAGGCAGTGCGCCATATGCTCAGATATTGCATATAGCTTTGTTTTTGAATTTCTAAATAATAAATGGCAACTACTGGTACAGTGGCAATTACTGGTGCCTTTACCCTATCATTGCATTAAAAAAATGCGTTTTTTTGCAACTCTGGATATAACTTACCAAGTTGTTCGAGTTTGTCGTGCAGAGCCGGCAGATGCTCCAACGTGAGCTCGTCCAAAATTCCCTGATCGACCACGGCGCCGACCACTCTGTTGTTGTAATAATCGGGCAGCAGATTCTCGCACAGCGTGGCCAGCAGCCAGAAGGCCTCCTCTTCCGAGCAGTAGATCAGCAGCACGGACGCGACGATGTTCATCGCCTGGCAGTAGCCGATGCTCGGGTTGTGCAGCGCGTACGCGTACAGCACCCTGCGTAGCGCGTCGATGCCGACGTCGTTTTGGAACGCGGGGTGCTCGGGCAGCGATCGGTGGAGATCGCGCTCGATTTCTTCGTTCGCGGTCGACTTCGTTTTTAGCGCGCGGTTCACCATCGTCTTGTAGTAGCCGGGGCGCGACGCTTGCTCGTTGGCGGACCCTTCAAAATACACCACAATGTTTTAAAGCAAATTTTAACAAAAAAAACAGTAAACACAACCGAAAAGGTTCTATAATGGCCCTGTATAAACGTGCCTTTAATAATAATAACAATAATAATTTTATTAATCCAATTGACGTAGATAACATTCATATGTATAGGACAAGTCACAGAAATACAATACACGAACTACAAGTAAATATACTCGAAAATACCTACAAATTTATCCTAAAACTTATTCAGTTCATAAGGACATTCCTCAATTAAAAAGTCTTTCAGTTTTCTTTTAAAAATATTATAATTTTTTGTTTCCTTAATATAATTTGGCAAATTGTTAAAAATTTTGATGCCAGAAAAATAAGGTGACTTTTAAACAAAGAAGTTGTGTGTCTCGGAACACATAATCTTGAGCCACTTTTTGTGGAATACGAGTGAAAATTTCTATTAGTTGGGAATTTTCCTAAGTTGTTAAAAACAAACTTCATAATACTATACAGTGTGTCCGTAAAGTCCCGGAACATGTGATTATTTTGAAAACGGTAATTTTTTTTTAAAAACGCTAAAACACGTCAACTTTTATATTTTTCTAGCAATATTTTAGCCTATGTAGTTGTTCCAAAATCTGCCGCGTGGCGGCGCCCCAATCGAAGTAAGGTTTTTTTAAATTACAACCCTTTATTTTTGTTGCATTTTTGGATAGCTACCGTTGTCCTGAGTACATTGATATGCTACATGTGGAGGGTTACATAAGAAAATTTTTGAGAAAAGTAGGTTTTTGCCGCTGATTGAGATTTTGGTTTTGACGAACTTATTCGCTGTTACGGGGCACCACCACACTATGCATTTCTATAGCATATAGTAAGGGATTATTTAAATTAGGTCTTTCCCAATCGCTGGATAGGTCGAAGGGGTCAAATTGAGTGGCCAGCGCGATCGCCCGATTTGAACCCTTTAGACTTCTTTTTATGGGGACATCTTAAAAACCGCGTCTATGTAAACAGGCCTTAAAATTTGGACGACCTAAGACACCGCATTCAAGCCGAGATCCAGATTATCACTCCAGCGGTACTGGCAAACGTACAACGCTCGTTTGTAGACAGGCTGGCCCACTGCCAAATACACTTTGAGCAACTGCTCTGATTGGCTTTCCAAAAAAACATTAAGCAACGCATAGATTGTGTTTAAGTTTGACAAAATACCAAAATCTCATTCGGCGGCAAAAACCTGCTTTTCTCAAAAATTTTCTTATGTAACCCTCCAGGGTGGCGATTCTCGAGTTAAGAGAACGCTTCTCATAGGAGAAGTGGGCGTTTCTCTCAAGTTTTGACAGGCTGCATTATTGAATTTAAGATAAGTTAGTGCGTTCTTCTCTCGGACACTATTTTCTGCTTTAGGAGAACCAAACTATTGCATGATTTTAAGAATGCAGCCTGTCAAGACTTAAGTGAAACACGCCCACTTCTCATGAGAATACCGTTCTCTCAACTCAAGAATCGCCCCCCAGATGTGGCACATCAATGTAATCAGGACAACGGTAGCTATCAAAAAATGCAACAAAAATAAAGGGTTGCAATTTAAAAAAAACTGACTTTGATTGTGGCGCCGCCACGCGGTAGAATTTGGAACAACTACATATGCCAAAATATTGCTAGAAAAATAACAAAGTTGACGTGTTTACGCGTTTTTTTGAAAAATATACTGTTTTTAAAATAATCTCATGTTCCGGGACTTTACGGACACACTGTATATGAGTCAAGCCACGTCAAGTGGGACCAGAAAATTTCACAAAATCACCGATTTTAAAAATAATCACATTATTGTGTAGTAGGCATGACGCATATGTCACAGTAAAAAAATTGCTTCGAAATTCGCTTTTTTAGTAATAATAATAATAATAATAATAATAAGTTTATTTTCAAAAACAACTAAGGTTGTACAGAAAAATAGGCAATTCCTTACAATATTAATAAAAGAATATGCATATAACCTTATAAATAAAATAAAGTAAAATAATTGCAAATTAAATATTAATTAGCTAAGAATTTATGAAAATTTCTTATGAAACACTAGTTACCTAATCCACACTAAAAATCATCATTCAAGAATTCATGATATGAGTAATACGATTTGGTAATAAGAAGTTGTTTTAATGAAGATTTGAAATTTCTTAAATTTTGAGATCTAATGTGAACAGGCAACTTATTGTAAAATTTTGGACCTAAATACAGAATACTCTTTTGGAATAAACTGGTGTTATTTGCCTCGTATATGATTAAACCATTTTGTCTCGTGTTTGAGTTAAAAAAACTAAAATCACTTTTATTCTTATAAAGAAAAACTAAACATTCAAAAATAAACAAGGAGGGAAACGTCAAAATGTTGTTTAAATTAAAATATTCTTTACAACTTTCCCTTTTTTTTAAACCTAAAATTATTCTTAAGGCGAATTTTTGCAAAATAAATACTTTAGATGAGACTATTGAGGAATGTTTAATGTTATTAAAGTTAATAATTTTGTCAAACTTTAGAGAATGGTAAAATTGAAAAAATAGAATCTCTGGAAGCACTCTGTATAATTGAATTAAATTTTACACACTATTGTAGCAATGTTTAGACTATTGAATGATCATTTAATTAAGGTAAATTTGTTTAAGTAAATAAAAGAATTTTGTATACATTTATTATAAACAATTAAAATTTTTTATGTGTTCTTCACGCTGAAAAAAAATTAATCTTATGTCATAATATGCTGAAAACGTTCCCGTTTAATAAAATGTACTCAAAAATTTGTCCTTCATAGGTCATTCCGGAGATATTAATATTTTTTTCTACGCTTATTACGGAATTTGACAGTTCTTATATGACTTTTTAATCTGGAATTACGTATATTCCATAAAGTGTTACAGAATAGTATATTCTGTAACAAGTTTGGAATACAGCATATTCCGCTCGAGTGAAAAGTTTGTCACACGAGCCGAAGGCGAGTGTGACGGTTTCACGAGAGCGGAATATGCAATTCCAAACGTGTTTCAGACTATACTTTTTCTACGTTTATTAAAAAATACCAGAGAAATAATTTAATTGGAAAAAAGTTAGGTTATCTTTTGACAGATGTTAGATTTTATAATGGTAGTAAATAAGATAATTTTTAAATAAGCTTATAAAAATTACTTACATAATTTTGCAGAACCTAAATTAGGAAGTATAAAGAAGTAATAAACTTTTTTTATTCTTTATTATTTACATGTATTGTAATATGATAAATAGTACAGTTTTGAAAGGTTAAATTTGGGGCAATATTTAAGTTTTCTTTATTTACTAAGGAATTTAAATTCAAAGCTGCAGTTGAAGATTGAGATGATCCTGGGTTTGATGCTTCAATTTCAGTAATATGAGACATTAGTTTATTAGACACATCTAATCTACTGGATAAAGAATTGTGAATATAACATTCTCAGAAAGAGAAGTCGTATTTTTATTTTTACGCCAGTCCATAAATTGTTTATAAATTTGCAGATAAACTTCTTTGGACTTCGCAGGTAGTAAATCTAGCGTTGTTTGATTGGCCTTTTCAGTTAGTTCTGGAGGAGTGTTTTCAAACGCGTTTCTTCTTCATCAGTAGACATGGACATATTATTTAACGACGATATATTATTCATAGATAAATATAGACAAATTTTAAGTAAATAAATGGACAAATTGTAAGGAATGACAAATAAGTTATTATTTGAATTTCAAATTTTGAATTAACTAATGACAGACGTAAACAAATAACCAGTGCTGCCATCTCTTTGGGACTAACTCAAACCTAAATATTCTAATAAAATCCTACTAAATCGGCCAAACAGAATTACAACTAGCTTGTAAAGAAGATTTATTTTGGGTATTTTTATTAATGCAAACTGTTTTAAATCCTATTGTATACTACCGATTAATATTTTCTACCGGGCCTTTCTGAAAAAACTAGATTTGGTAGGAATACAAGTGAGTTATAAAATAAACATAGAGATGTCGCCCCCAGTGCTCATTGCATCATTAGAACATGTGCGGAATAATTATTCTCCTGCTGTGCGATTGAGCAGTACGCAGCGCGCTTCGATGCTAGCCCGTTAGCACAGCTTTCCGTTAGAACGTTAGAACCGACGAGCTAGCAGCGAAGCGCGCCGCGTACTGATCGAACGCACAGCGGGACAAAAAATTTAATATCTCCGGAATAAGATATAAAGGACAAATTTTTGAGTACATTTTATTAAACGGGAATGTTTGCCGCATATTATGACACAAGAATAATTTTTTTTCAGCGTAAAGAACACATAAAAAATTTCAATTGTTTATAATAAATGTATGCAAAATTCTTGTATTTAAACAAATTTACCTTAATTAAATGACAATTCTATAGTCTAAACATTGCTACAATAGTGTGTAAAATTTAATTCAATTATACAGAGTGGTCAAAGAGATTAAGAGCTCTTAACTTTGACAAAGTTATTAACTTAAATAACTTTAACAAAAAACTGAATTTCAAAACAATTTTTTTACTGTGACATATGGGTCATGCCTAATACACAATTATGTGATTATTTTCAAAATCGGTGATTTCGTGAAATTTTCTGGTCCCACTTGACGTGGCTTGACTCATATATAAATTCCATACAATGTTAGTAATTTTTTATTTATAAAAGTATCTCTACAGGAAGCCCTACCAGGTAGGTTAAACATTATTCGAATTGCGCGCTTTTGCATAATAAATACTCTATTTGCTGATGTTCCTCTTCCCCAAAAAATTATATTATAAGATATATGCGAGTAAAAAAGTCCATAATCGGCATTTAAGAGTGATGTATAAGACTGTTGTTTAGTGTCATTAGGGCAAAGCTTGAAGCGCTTAGTTTTTGGCAAAGGTTATCTATATGGTTCTCCCAGTTTATCTAAACATCCACTATTAGCCCCAAAAATTTCACCTTTTTCGATATGTTTAAATTAAGGTTATTAAGGTTACTCAAGCCACTTAAACGGAGAGAGTAGTATACATATTCAGATTTCTCAGAATTTAATATAAGACTGTTTCTGGTGCACCATTTAATGAACTAACCCTATAAAGGCTTACTCTAATGGAACTGTACATATTATGTCCCGTTCACCTTTATTGGACAGAACTATTTCATTTTTTGATATGGCACGCCAAAGGTTCTGATAAGGCAGATTAAAGGTACAAATGTGGCAAACAAAATTTTCTGATATGGCATGTTAAAGATTCTATAGTGGTCATTTAAATAATTTTTAATGGATAAGTATCTATTATGGTGGGATAAATGTGGTAGGTATATATTTATTAGATAAGGATATTCCACCATAATCAAAAATTATTATCCCTACCGTCAGGACCATATTACCCATTAGACAGGCAAGACAATTGCCTTATATGCCACGAAGAAATAGGCGCCTTGTCCCCAACCAACTTAAAAAAATAAAAACTGTTACCAAATGGTTTATTTATACAATATAGTATTATGGTTTTATACCACATAGTATTATACTATACTTAGTATTGAATACACAATTATGAGTACGTTAGAGTAGCAAATATTCTTTACTGATTTTATTATTTTATAAAAATGCGGCTTCTTTGTAATAACGCCCTTTAAGCGCGTGCAGAAAGCAAATTCGCTTCTGTTTTTATGCCAAGTACTATATAGTACAGCATATGCTCGCTCCACACATCAAAGTCCCACCACGTGACATTGACATACATAATTAAGGTTAATTTTCAGATATTGTCATTTTGTCTTATTTTCTATGTATATATGTATTTTTTGTGTTCCAAATTAAGAACTTTAGACACAAAAAATACATGTATTTATACATGCAATTGCATTATTTTCAGAAACTATAACAAAATTAGCTTAACACTGACAGAAAATTAACCTTAATTATTTCTTTCAAAGTCAAGTGGTGGGAATTTGATTTGTGGATCATAGTACTTAAATTTATTTCAGATGAAATTATTTATTTATATATTATTTATTAGACAGCAATCTGTCGATAGTTAGTGTAAATTTTGCTGTATGTTTTAAGGTATCTATTTATGAAATTTTAATATTAAAATAATTATAATAAATCAGCAGTACATCTTACTTAAAATACTGGTAATAAAAGTTAATTCACATTTTTTTTAACTTACAAATGACATTTTGTAAGCCCTGCCTACTGTCACAATACAATTTTTGACCCAATAAATATAAACAAAACACATTTAATTCACCTTAATAAATACTTTACTTATCCATAACATTAATTAATACTTCTATTATCCTGAAATATAATACTAAAACATTCATAATTTTACAAGAAAAAATACAAACAATGTGTTGTAATAAAGACCTGTATTGCCATATATTTATTTTTATGGTAAAATATACAAATATTAGCCTTTTATCAAAATTAATATTTTTATTAAAAAATTCCTGTAAAGACTTTTGTGTTTATTTTATAGTTGTTTTGTTATAATTTGTTTAAATCCGCTAAACAGTATGGACCTCCCAATATTTCCTGTAGTAAATTACTTTTTTTATATAGGATGGTCAAAAGTAACTTCCCAACTCAAAATGATGAGATTGAAACTTGCCTTGATAATATCTTACAGGATTTCACTATAAAAAAGAAAACTGAATAAAACGCTAAATATTTGTACATTGGCACACCCCAATGTATAGGAGGATACTTGGCGCACCTTGTATTTTATATTTTGGCCAATATTTAAAAACCATAAGTTCATTACTGCATATAATGTTTTTACAACCTATTTATAAAGTATTTTAACATGAGTAATTCCGCTATAACAGTTTTTTTATTATCCATTTAATTTTATATTCTTTATAAAATAATCCAAATTCCAAAGATAAATAATCTAAAAAATATGAAACAAAACATTGGAATTTTATTGTTTTAAAGAAGATAAAATGCTTAGTATCCTAACAAAACGGAGTATTCAAAGATATTATTTTTTACCTGAAAAAGACATCCAAATGTCCATCCTCAATCCATCCGGAACCCCTTCCAGAACGAGTTTAGCGACCTCTGTCGTTCTATACATCGAAACACCCCGCCCGTAAACGTTGAAATGTTCCTCCCACTGTTTAATTTTGTCCCGTTGTTTTTTGTGAACTTCCGGAATGGGACTCAAAGGAAAACATTTCATTAGAGGCGGCTGACATTTCCATGTCGGATTTACATCGCTACTATCGCCCGAGCTTTTTAAATTTTTCATTTCATAGCTGAAAATTATTGATGTTTTTATGCAAATACAACAGATAAAACAAGTACATATGGTAATTAAATTTACAGGCGTGTTTAGTATTACACAAATGACTAATAATCACATAAGTGGATTATCTAAATTATGTAAACAAATAAATTAAACTAATTATTCAAGAGCACGTTTTACTGAACATTCACAATATTTAAAAATAATGCAGTATTAAAATTAGAAAAAAATCAAAATTAAATTATAAATTGGCTTAAAAAACACTTACCTTTCTGATAATTTCGAGAGTAATTCCGATATTTTGTCCACCAAAAAATCTCTGTCATCTATTTGAGCAAATATGAAGCTTGCATTAAAAGCTGTTAATATTATTGCCTTGTCTAAAGACGTGGTGGAAACATTATTTTCTATTTTTTCAGCCACTGAAACGTGTCTTAAAGGCACTACTAAGCTGACTTGAGCTTTTACCTTAAAATAAAGCATAAAAATGATTGTGTTTTTTGGTTTTACGCTGCGAAGAAGCAAAGGATTGACATGATTTTTTGCAAAAAAGTTGTCTATGGAACGGTAGAGTAACACAGACAACTTTTTATCACGAAAAAATGAACGGTTCCTTGAAATAACTGCGAAATACGTAAAAAACGCAACCAACATTACATCCACGTGTAATCTGGGTTGCATATATTCGAAAACTCCGCGGTTAATAAAATTTTAGTATACTCACTCGGCTTTCAAAACAAATATAATTTTGGGACAAAAATAGCCTGCCAGCAACATGTTTTTTATTGTAAGGGGTCATTAATGTACAATCTATTGAACCATCTAACTTTTCTGAAGCTGGCAACCTGAACATTAATCTGTAAGCTTCGGATCTAGATCGTGCATCTAAATCTCTTTTAAGGAATGAGGGTTTTTTTGGGACATTTTTACTACAATTTAAAATATTAATGATGTTAATATTATCATAAATAAATAAATATATACCTTAATTTATTCAACAATTCCTTATCCTCTGAATACATTTTCTTATCATCAATTAATCTACAAAACAAAATATAGTTCCATTTAAATAAAATTTAATGTAAATACCTTTTCATAGCTAAATCTACTAATTGCTGCATAAGCCTGTATGTTTCATTTCTATTAACAAACATGGTAAAATAATATTCTTTTTCCCTCGTTGCCACTTTGATTGAATCTGGAAAAACCAGGTTGTTTCTTTCGTTTAAATCTGTAACTTCAGACCATCTTATGCAAACTTTTGTGTCTAATCCCAAAATAAAAGCGTGAAAACAACAGCAATTTATTGACATGTAAAGCCATCCTTGTCTAGGAACTTTGCCTTTCCAATAACTACAATATTACATAATTGTAGGATAAAATCAGTAAACAAAATAAATAAATATGAAACTAGACTAGAAAATAAAATCTTATCTTATTTACATTAGTAACAATAGATTAACAAACCTGCAAGAATAATAATTAACCAGTTTTTCATCTTTTGGCAAGCTAAATAATTTTTGGAACTTGTTTGATGTGAGCTTAAATGAACTTGTGTCTTCATCTACAATTTTAAAAGTTAATGTAGGTATTATTTAAAAACAAAATAGTAACATTTTATTTCAAACTTTACCTTCTACTTCCACCTCATGTCTTGTAGCTATCATAGACTCAATCTTACATAAAACAAAATTTGTGATGTCTTCTTCATTATCAAAATTCTGCAAGGTCTCTGACACGTTTTCCAAAAGCCATTCCAAATCTTTAACGATTTCCTGCCTTGTCATAGCACTGGCGATCACTGTAACACAAATCATTAATAATCCAAAACACAACTTGAATACAGTAGTTACAGTAATAAACTTCTGATGATGGTGTCTGATGGAGAATCCTGTAAGGGGCTGGTTTAGTATCGAAAATTGTATCAATGGTCCCCACAAGAAGCGAGGACAGCCCCTTAATGGAGCCATGCCCCTTTCGGTGTTGCAAAACAAAGTATAGCCGACTATCCTCTGTCTCCCTATAATTTCACTGATTGCAAGACTCACCAATTAAAATACCTTCATACATACCAAAAGGCATTCGCAATCAGCACTTCCTGCGGTTTAACAAACATTTTTAACAAGCGTTAAAAAAATTAGAACATGTTAGTCAAATGAAACGACTCAGGTGCGAGATTTCGTAATTTTTTGGTGGAATATACATCGCGTATCGACAAGAATTTCGATTTTATGCGTTCTTTGTATTGTCGAACGATAAGGATTACTGATAAACACTATATAACACAAAACAAAATACAAAAATATGCTATCTGACGTCTGTCACTGTCAAACACGTGGTAACACTCTCTAGTAGCAAACATTCGAACTATAAGCTTTGAGGCTTGTCAAATAGATGGCGCCGTTTTTAAATTAACTTTTAATTTATTAGTAATAAAGGGTTTAATGCAATACCCACTGGGTATGACTCAACCATAAAAATACAATTTTTGGGAGAGCAAAAGCTCGTGGTAAATTAGTTATTGCAAAGTATTTTATGGTAGGCAACTCAGGAAACAACCGTGTATTGTTATTACATACGATAAAGACCTGATTATTACACAGGATAATACTGCTAAGCAAGAGTCATATTTGAGTCAGATAATCTGACAATTTCTTGATTTGAAATAATTGTAATTTAGGACTACTTTTCTTAGTAACACACTATTTTTTTGTAGTTGGGACAAAATTAATAGAAGATTTATCATTTTACTAATGCAGATAAAGCATTCTGCGTTAGTGCAAAACATGCAGAAATGCCCAATCTTTGATTTAGATGGGTATGAGAGCTCAATTTCTGAAAAAATGTCAGATACGACCGTCTTGCTTAGCATTATTATAGTATATTAAAGAACTAATGTCATAAGACGTCATTTTGTCGCACGCGGACAATTTATAAAACGAGCGACGAAGGACAGAGTTCTTTATGCTATTTTATCTATTTTCAAAAATTCTATAAAAAAAATAATTTAAATTAAAGGTATAAATTTATACCTTTAATTTAATTTGGTCGAATTTTACTTTAGATAGTTGGTATCACAGTCGGTTTGACAGTTAATGTCAAAATTGATTCGTCATGCCGTCCTTAATTTACTTATTTACAATAAGCGGCTGTTAATGTTAAAGAAGAAAAAAAGGATTTTTTTGGTGTTATAAACAAAATTTATTGCCAGAAAAGTCTCGTAAGTACTAGAAAAATCATAAAAATATTATAACCAATAGGCAAAATATTATGCTGTTTAAAGTATAGCCAACCTATAAAATCAAAATTTTGGGTGGGATAAAGTATCTCATTACAGCACCAAAACCGGTGTTATAATGAAGTCTTTATAAACGCAAAATAGATAAAAGACATTTTTCGACTGATAACTAAATTTGCTAAAAATGGACTTGAAGGTACTCCTAAAAATTCAGTTTTTAAATTAATTTTAACCTGAGCCCCGACCATTTTTAATAAAACAATTAGATCAAATCCTAAAAAAGTGGGAAAAACTCATAATTTATGTACAAAATAATTCAAACAAGGTTTTTTCTTACTTTTTTACTATCCTGAAGGTACTCCCAAAAATTCAAATTTGTAAATTAATTCTTAACCTGCGCCCCTACCACTTTAAAAAAAAATAGAACAAGTTCTAAAAAGTGGGAAAAATTCATAATTTAGTTATAACAAAAATTTAAACGAGGTTTTTTCTTACTTTTTTACTATCCTGACGGTACTCCCAAAAATTCATTTTTGTAAATTAATTTTTAACCTGAGACCGACCCCTTTTAAAAAAAATAATAGAAGAAATCCTATAAAGTGAGAAAAAGTCATAATTTGTTATAATTTTTTTTTTACTTATTTCTTACTTTTTTACTCTTCTAAATGTACTTTCAAAGTTTTACACTTTTAAATTAATTTTTAACCTGAGCCCCGACTAATAACGTCAATTATAAATAAAAATTAGTATAAACCCTGACCAAATCTGCAAAACCAGTATACACTTAAAACCAGGTCACATTAGCAAAAACCAGGGTAAACCAGGACTTTTTGATAAAATTGATTTTTTTTCTTTATGTTGTTATATCTCTTAAAATATTAATTTTAGAGGTTTGACTTATAGAACCTTAATTGTAGAAGACAAAATTTTCTACAAAAAACGTATTTTACTTTTTTATCAGAAGTCAACCATTTAAAAGTTAATAGCAAAAATGGTGTGAAATTGCACGTATACGATATTTTTTTCTTGAGCAGTCCGTACTTTACTTAACACCCATTTACGTCCAATTACGATGGCGACATTCGGCCTGTGTCGTCTTAAATATGTCGCATAAGGTACAACACCGTAAACACCACACCTTTAGAGCGTTCGATGTACACTTTACTGTCCCACAATGCACCAGGCATTGTTCACTCTGGCACCTGCTTTAAATCGTTTGGTGGTGTAATGGGCGGTTTGAAATATAAGTGGGCTTCTTGGACAGATGATAGGAAAAAGTGAATAAAGTCATGAGACGTTCGTGATGTATTGAGTTTGATAAAAGCCATTTTAGTCGCGAATTTTAATTAGGCGAAGCTTACCAGCGAGTGTTTAATTAAAATAAGTGTCTAGAAAAGTTGTATGCTACGAATTTTTTTTATAAGAAATAAATAAATTAATAATATTAAAATATTAGTTTTATTATACAATATTTATTTATCAGAAAAATTTACTCTTGATGCAATGGTATGCTTGTCTTCAAACGCGTGTGTTACAAACGATTGTTCTTGAGAATAGGCAGAAAAGGCAGGAAAATGTTAAAAATATCGAAAAAAAATACGTAGAAAATTTTTTTGTGTTGTTGGGTGTTTTTCTAGAGGAAATTGAGTGTTGAGAAATAAATTGTTTCTAGAAATATAAGTTGCACCTATTAGATACTATTAATACAAATTTTAAGAAAGTCTTCACTCAACGTTAAAAGACCAAAAACGGGTATTTTATTATGTATTATATATAATATTATGTTGCCATGAATTCGTAGATATATTTTCTTGTTTATTATTTTAAAATGCAGTTGTCGGCGTTTTTTAGAGGAATTAAATATAAAAATGTTTTATTTTAAGGTTATGTTTGCACAACTATTATTTTTGTTAGATATTTTAAAAATTTTCAATCTTAAATATAAATTATAATTATATAAAGGTAAAGTTAACATTAGTTAATTCTACACCAACAAATGAGACCTGTCATAGCAAAACCGACAATCTCCACTTTTGGTCAAAAATTAGATTTTTGGCGGAGACTGTACTTCAACTAATTATCTATAAGATGATAAAGTTTAGGTACTGCAAAAGGAGCTAAATCCTGCCTAAAATCCTATTTTAAAAATTACATTTAGTGCAAAGTCGACAATCTCCACTGATAGATTTGCAGCAAAGTATACAATCTCCAATTCCACCATTAGAAATTAGTAATTTGTGTCACCTGATATCCTAACATTTGATGTTATAACGTATTTTAGAGATTTAATTTTGTGTTTTTTTACTGGTACATGCTGTTCTATTGCAGTAAATTGCACTTAAAAATATATTTAAAATAGGTATATACTTATACGTTTTATTGTTTTAAGAATTATAAAAAAAGTTATCTTGTTTATTTTGTGCTATTAAACCATAATAAGACGTAAAGGTAAAGCAAGAAAAGGCTGATAATGTCAAAACATTGCAAGTACAACATTACGGAGCAAAGTGGGAAGAAGATGATGAGTTGTTGTACTATAAAAAACTATTTTGCACGAGGCAACTTGGTCCCAGATTTACAAAAAACTCCAGATTTATGTGGTCCAGTTCAGAATTTTCCCACATTGATTTTATAGTTAAATTTTATAACCATTAAAGGAATAAAAATACAAATATTTTTTTGTTTATTTTTCTAAATCTCCTTACAAGTTTACAACAAAATGAGCAATCTCCAGCAATTCATATCAAAGTCAGCAATCTCCAATTTATAATTACCGATTTCACCTATACTATAGTATATATGCATCCTGGAGACCTTGTAGTTGGCTACTAAACTAACAACAACAATATTTCAATATAAAAAAAATTACAAATCTAGAATTTTAAATACCAAAATCAATTATAGTAACTAACAACAACAATATTTCAATATAAAAAAAATTACAAATCTAGAATTTTAAATACCAAAATCAATTATCTCAATTTACTCAGTTTTAGTCTGTTGGGAGATTGTTGACTTTGCTCTGACAGGCCTCAAATATACGTACCGAATTGGATTCTTTGGCAAATCATGAAAATGCAATTTTTGCAGTTCTTGAATTACAATCACAATTAAAAACACAATAATTCACCATGATCACTTACACACTAACGTAACTATATAAGCATATAAGCGTTGAGTGTCTTAATCAATGATATAAGGAATAATAAATCGAAATCGAGTACTAAACTAAAGTTTTTGAGTTTTTACTTGCAACGCGAAACATAAATAATGTGCAATTAAAACTACGTACAAAACTTGTCGAGTAAGACTTCTTGCCTTCCTTTTTTTTGGTAAAGTTATTTATTTAAAAATGATGTATATTTTAAATGGTTTAAATGTATTGTTAACAATTCTTGAATTCCCACAAAGCTAACTTTATCCCGTGACTAAAAACCTGTTGATAACTTCAGCCCGTGACTAAAGCGCCATAAAGCCATAGCTTGTCAATGTGTATTTAAAAAATCACTACGCATTTAATCCGGGTCCACATAACTTTATGTTAAGTTCACAATCAAATCTGTTAACTAATTGAATAAGTATTTTGTAATTATAACAAACATTTTGTAGATTTAATAACAAAATCCTATATCAATAATTCAACCATAATTCTTGTAATTTTCAAAAAGGACCTTATTTTACAAACCTTTTTGTAGGCACAGTAACAAAAGAATTTGTTGGAAATCGGGAACTTAAATGAAAAGAATTTTCATAAGAAATGTTGCTTTATTAATCAATTTTCTAAACAAAAAAATTAACACATACCTACATAAATGAACACAAAAATAAAATACACACAATTAAATAACACACCATTCTAAAATCATTAAATTTTAAAAAAATGGTACAATATAATTATGTGTACTACTACAACACTTACTGCACTAAGAGAAATATCATGTCATGATATTAGCATATGAAATTATATTAGTTTAAATAATCGGGTAAATTCGATTCAAATAGAAAAATTTGTAGTTTTATATTCATTTACCAACAGTTTTACAATGTTTTTAAACCCTTTTAAAGTGTACCCTTTTTAAAATATATACATAAAGAAATCTATT